GAAGTGGAATGGTGGCACAAACTTCACAGATGTACAAACATGATTAGCAAACTCACAAATACATGAGGAGATCTATTATTTTTAATATCCAAGTATTTGTGAAGACATCCCTGTGAATTAGAGATTAAGAATAGTGCTCATATTAAAAAAACCCTACAGGGTATGTGATGTAAATTGGTACGATTAGGTAGTTGTTGGGCACTTGGGCTTTGCCAGTACCAATCCATAACATCCTCTGCTTGAGGGGACATACATAGGAGATAAAGAAGGCATTATCTTGCTTCTAAAATGCGTTGCCTATTACAGGACCACTGCAGCGCAATACGTATTTCTACAGGGAGTGCAGAATTATTAGGCAAATGAGTATTTTGACCACATCATCCTCTTTATGCATGTTGTCTTACTCCAAGCTGTATAGGCTCGAAAGCCTACTACCAATTAAGCATATTAGGTGATGTGCATCTCTGTAATGAGAAGGGGTGTGGTCTAATGACATCAACACCCTATATCAGGTGTGCATAATTATTAGGCAACTTCCTTTCCTTTGGCAAAATGGGTCAAAAGAAGGACTTGACAGGCTCAGAAAAGTCAAAAATAGTGAGATATCTTGCAGAGGGATGCAGCACTCTTAAAATTGCAAAGCTTCTGAAGCGTGATCATCGAACAATCAAGCGTTTCATTCAAAATAGTCAACAGGGTCGCAAGAAGCGTGTGGAAAAACCAAGGCGCAAAATAACTGCCCATGAACTGAGAAAAGTCAAGCGTGCAGCTGCCACGATGCCACTTGCCACCAGTTTGGCCATATTTCAGAGCTGCAACATCACTGGAGTGCCCAAAAGCACAAGGTGTGCAATACTCAGAGACATGGCCAAGGTAAGAAAGGCTGAAAGACGACCACCACTGAACAAGACACACAAGCTGAAACGCCAAGACTGGGCCAAGAAATATCTCAAGACTGATTTTTCTAAGGTTTTATGGACTGATGAAATGAGAGTGAGTCTTGATGGGCCAGATGGATGGGCCCGTGGCTGGATTGGTAAAGGGCAGAGAGCTCCAGTCCGACTCAGACGCCAGCAAGGTGGAGGTGGAGTACTGGTTTGGGCTGGTATCATCAAAGATGAGCTTGTGGGGCCTTTTCGGGTTGAGGATGGAGTCAAGCTCAACTCCCAGTCCTACTGCCAGTTCCTGGAAGACACCTTCTTCAAGCAGTGGTACAGGAAGAAGTCTGCATCCTTCAAGAAAAACATGATTTTCATGCAGGACAATGCTCCATCACACGCGTCCAAGTACTCCACAGCGTGGCTGGCAAGAAAGGGTATAAAAGAAGAAAATCTAATGACATGGCCTCCTTGTTCACCTGATCTGAACCCCATTGAGAACCTGTGGTCCATCATCAAATGTGAGATTTACAAGGAGGGAAAACAGTACACCTCTCTGAACAGTGTCTGGGAGGCTGTGGTTGCTGCTGCACGCAATGTTGATGGTGAACAGATCAAAACACTGACAGAATCCATGGATGGCAGGCTTTTGAGTGTCCTTGCAAAGAAAGGTGGCTATATTGGTCACTGATTTGTTTTTGTTTTGTTTTTGAATGTCAGAAATGTATATTTGTGAATGTTGAGATGTTATATTGGTTTCACTGGTAATAATAAATAATTGAAATGGGTATATATTTGTTTTTTGTTAAGTTGCCTAATAATTATGCACAGTAATAGTCACCTGCACACACAGATATCCCCCTAACATAGCTATAACTAAAAACAAACTAAAAACTACTTCCAAAAATATTCAGCTTTGATATTAATGAGTTTTTTGGGTTCATTGAGAACATGGTTGTTGTTCAATAATAAAATTAATCCTCAAAAATACAACTTGCCTAATAATTCTGCACTCCCTGTATTCCTAATGCTTTAGTGTTCCTTTAAAATGAATTGGACCTAGACGTGCTTCTATTATTTATAAGAAAAAATCTTCAGCAAGGAACCTGCAAACTGTCAGGGGCATGGAACTGGCTTGGAAGGGGATTCCATGTGGTGTCTCATGACCTTGTAATACACCTTTGTGGTGCTGTTGGCTTAAAATCAACTTTGTCACCTCCTCGGGTCTTTGTATAATTTGCAAAGACCTTCGAAGGTAACTTTGCCACTTGATGTCTGGTGGCTGCAAGTTGCAGGGAAAGGCGAGTTTGACTTATCTGAACCGGTCTCTCTGGGTTGCTGCCATGGTCTTCCTGGCAGTCTTCTTCAGGTCTTGACGTGTCATCTGCCATAAGCCCACATCATTGCTTTACTCCTGCACACGTGCAAAAGAACAGCACAGAGGCATTTTCATGTAAGCACTGCCTTTTCAAAGTAAATGCAGTGTTTACATTGCCCCCTAGGGACACGTCCTGTGGCCACTCCTCAGATGACTGCTAGAGGTGTTTCCTTGGTCAGTGCTGCACAGTGGGCAGCAATGCCGTTAAAAGTCTCCACGCTCTGCCTCCCCATCCCGCCTCCTTGACGATTTCAGCCAATCCAATAGGGAAAGCATTGGATTCGCTAAAAATCGAAAATTCTGATGTCACCAAGGAGGCGGATCAAAGGCGTGGCCAGCGGCAGCAGACCTGCGCAGCGCTGGAATTAAGGCAAGTTTTTTTTTTTTTTTTAACCCTTTCTAAGGAGGGGCAAGCCACCTAAATGGTGGTTTTAGCACTCTAGGGCAGGAATACATGTTTGTGTTCCTGACCCTATAGTGTTCCTTTAAGTCTGATGTTCACAGCATGAGGGAGCATTTATATAGATCTGTGTATGTCTACGGCACTCAGGGTTATTCATCAAAGTGAGAATTATCAGGAAAGTAGGCACTCAAGAGATCAGATGCACAACCAATGATTCAAGGAAAAAGAATTTGGGGCTCCTGTTCTGTTGCCTAGTGTCCTATTTCTTAGTACACAGGAGACAAGCCCTTAATAAACACAGTGCAAGCATATCATTAAGCACCATCGAGCTGCATAAACTGAAACCTGGCATCTTAGGTATGCAAAAGTCCTTAGGAAACATTTCATATAAGGGCAGTCTTGGATAAGACTTGTCCCAATGTGGCTGCCATTCACCCTTGCACGCATATGCACCATGGTTGTGAATTTGACACACTAGAAAAAAGTATGGAAACTCTTTGGAAAATTTGTATTTCTAAGGTTTGATGGATCATAACAGTCTTTTTTTAGAATGTCATAAAATGACAGCAGAATGTTATGCAACAAACTGTGTTGAATTATCTTCATTCTATCAAAAGCCGAATAATCAGAGGAAAACATAAATGCCTTACATAACATTAAGTGAATTTCCCTAACTCAAAACTGACTAATGAGATGATTGTTTCATATCACAGAGCTAATAATATGACTCATATTTAGTAGTGTGTGTTATCAAGTTGGCCACTCTTTTTTTTGTAGTTGTTAGTAAGATGTCAGATTGTAAATAGTTGACTGGTCACCTAGAAAGCAATGTAAAATAATAACTGTGTTAAGATGGCAACACTAATGAGAAAATCAGAAGAAAAGTAGGCAAAAGGTGATAGAAGATTAAAAAAAACATAAAACCTGTGTTTAAGTGACAGAAGAAAATCCTTGTCTAAAAATTGTCTCAATGGTCAGAGCTTACCACCATCACATTCTGCCATTACGCACTTCCAATGTCTGATGAGAACAGGAATCTTCTCTCCCAATGTGCAATAGATGCCTATAACATCTCCATGAGCATGCTCGGAATCATTTATGGAAAAGCCCAGTTTCTCTACTTAATAACTAGGACACATGATCAAGGCTATTTTGTTTTCTTCTACCTCCCGAGTAAAAGGTGGAGAACACAACTCCCATGATTTATTATTTGGAATTTGCTGGAACTCCACAAAACAGCAGATTCCACAGCCATAATACATGAACCCGTTCCTCCCTGAAGAAGAAAAAGAAAAAAGAAATAAATCAGACAGAACTCTGGTCCTCTAGACACCCAATAACCAGTGGACCTAACAAAGGAGGACTGAGGACTGGGACTGATTAAAGGACTGGGAAGTTATTGCTCAAATCTTTGTAGGGAGTGGGTCATTTGTTGCACAACTTTATCAGCTTCAATGTCTTTCCTTTTAGAAGGTAACGGGGATTAGGTTGTTTCCAATATTAAGATACAGAAGCAGATCTAGCCATGTACATGCCTATTCAGTTTGTTACTGTAAACGGAGTGTAAATATCCACCACTAGTGTAAAATGTTTTTGACATTGCTGCTGAGATGCATTAATATACATAATTGCTAACACGTTGCAAAAGTAATTTCATGCAATATCTCAATATGATTGGTACACATGTGAGACTGTGTGAAACTCACACTTACAGAAAGTGCTTTGTACCAAATAACACTCTACATAACATATCATCTCATCAATGCCACGCCTCTGACAGAGTAAATCTCGGTTGTAATTATTGTCATTGGCTGCATATAGGTAATTTATTTAGCAGTTTAGACCAAATCTGTGTAGAGGTAGGTAAAAAAAAAAATCATGAAAATCTGAGGTTTAGTAGCAGGTAAGAACAAATGTGCTTTAGGTTCACAAGAACCAGAGTGTAGTGGAACTACCACCCAGGTCATGCCCAATATATATTCTTTATAATTCCCACTTACTACTTTAAAGTTGAGAAACCTACTAACTCTGGAAGGAAAACAATTGTGATTTCCAAAAGTGGGATGATATGTTGTGTTTATGCTATCATTTACTACAGAACCATTATGCAGAACATTTAAATGTCTTTTTAGCATTCAATAAAATAAACTTTGTTTGATAAGAGATTGCATACTGTTTTACATGCATTCGCTTTTTTTGTAGGAAAAAAAAAAAAGGTGATAAAAATATAAAACAGAACAAACCATGCATATTGTGTGTGTGTTAGATGCAAACAGCTAGAAGAAAAAAAGGCAACAAGACCTGCTAATAACAACAAAGCTGGACCTGCCAGTGATAACAATTAAGTTTTAAACCTTTAATTATTTAGAGAAACAAAACAGTAAAATACATCTTAATAAGGACGTGTCTATATATTCAGAAGTTGATCTTTAAAATATTGCTTGCATAAGTATAAAACCACTTTATCAAGCAAAATATGTTTAATTGGTATGTAAGTCATAAATAAATCAATACAAATAATATAACACAAGATGAAATGCTGTGTCTTCTGATGAAACTGCAGCTCTCAGTAAACCCAAATCAGTCATAAACAGTTCACTCATCACTGCTGCACACGTGAGCAATTCATTGTCTGTAGTTACATTTTTACACATACTTTACAAAAGCAGTCATATATACATTAGATCTGTATTTATCTACTAATATATGCAAATTCTAGTCTTCCAGGTCAAGAATGCCAAGCATTGTAAAGGATTACATTAAAAACAAGTTCAAAGATGTGTTTAACATTGCCCTTTGGCATCTCTTCATTTCTGGAAGAAACATCATACGTTTATAACAAAAAAAACATTATCTAATGGTTTCAGATATAGGAAAAAAATAGCTCTTGGATTCATTGTTCCACGTAAACAAACAGCACCATATCACATAACACACACAAACCTGCAGAAAATGACCGTTACAGAAAGAATTTTCTTCTGTATACTTGTTTTACACTGATTCAAACCTCAAAAAAAAAACAAAAAGAAGTATAATCCAGTTCAGCGTCCATCAACTTTTCAATTCGGCTTTGTATTGGAGTACGTCAAAGTACGGGAATGATTTCAGCATTGTGTCAATCTGGTTTGTTTCCACCAAAAGTCTGCTTCTTTCACTTGCAAATCTGTTGCTGAATATGCAGCAAAAATTCATAATAGGAGAATGCAGCCTCTGTTCTGTCTTCGATTAAGTGCTGGAAAAAGTCAGTCTTCACTGCACTATCATCCCTGAAGTAACACAAAATTGGCATTTGTTAGAAAACATCTTAATTTGAATGTGTATCAACATGTGCAGCCTTTACTTGTTGAGGATGCATACAGAAGAAGCCTAGTAATAGGTAGGAATTAATGATGGGGGCTAATGGAATAAAAATAAAAGTCAGCAGTAGTCATAGGGAGGTGGGAGCGATGTGCAGACAGAAGGGGATAAAACCGGGGAAGGAAAGACTTGGAAACATTCAGGGTTTGCACCAATACTTTTTGTGATGTTAATTTCCTAGTTCATAATCAAATAATCCAATCAAATTTAATATAAAGTTATATATGTTCAATCTATAAGCAAAACAAATTATTCATATATGTATATATATTCATGTACTAAAATGCAATTTAAATTACCAGAATAACTATATAAAAAGTCTCTGTCTTTCAGACATCCTGCCACAAAGACATATACAAGATATATAAAAAGTTCTAATTGAGGAGAGGGAGATCCATGTGATGATATACTGCACAAACACCTCCATACGAATAGGTCACTTTTATAGAGAACTAAAATGTGTCCCAAAATTAAAAGTACAAATTCTACTCCACCCCCTGCCTGACAGTGTTAAAATATAAAGAGGCAACCAGTTGCATTGTTCAAGAAAAATTATATTTATATATATGTATGAAAAAAAAATAAAAAATCATCTTGCTTTAGTAAGTCCACCTTCTACCGGAGAGGCTGAAACAGAAATGATCATTGTAGAGGGGAGGTTATAGAGGGAGCAGCATACTGAAATGTTGCATTATGGATGTTTCTAGCTACAGTGGTACCTCGGTTTACAAACGCCTCGGTTAACATAATTTTCGGTTTACAAATGAAAATACAATGAAAATAATGCCTCAGCTTACAAGTTTTTTTCGCAATGTGAAGCAAGTTTTCCCAGGATTCATTGTGCCTGGGAGGTTTATATCATCGCCCCTCTGCATGCTGGAGTCTATGGGTAGCACATGGCGTCGAGTGTGGAGGTGTTAGAGCGGTTTTTGCATCGATTTTTGGAGCCATTCTGCAACTTTTTTTGCAGAGGTTTTGGGAGCATTTCTCAAGCGGTGGAAAGGTATTGAGCTCAGCTTTGTCGTTTGCAAGTCTTTTACTGTGTGTTCTGCATTGTGGGTTGGTTTCCATGCCAGCTGATTTCGACCTTTTTCTGACTTCCGGAACAGATTAATTGGTTTTCAGTGCATTCCTATGGGAAATGTTTACGAATTTTTCACAAAACGAAATGTCCCGGAGACCGCATTACATTTGTAAACAGAGGTACCATGGAACTTTGGACAGGAGAGACTTTATCCCATATGTCACAACTTGTGGACTCTCACCACCCAAGGGAAAAGAAATACAATGCACCATGTTTTATAACATAACCATAGACAAATACTTACTTTATGATATAAAGAATAGGGTTCAAAGGACTATCTTGCTTGAGCCAAGATATAAAATGTCTCAATCTTTCTGATGCCAACGTGTCTAACTCAGGAAGATGATTCTATATTGGAAAATAAATCATAACATTATGCTTATCAACTATGATTATAGCAACTGATTTATAAATAAAAAGAGATAAGCACCCTAAAAAACCCAATAATACAACATTTGAAATGCAATTATTAATGCATCACAATAGTTCACCAAAGAGTGACTAGATCAGTGGTTTGCAAACAGTTCCTCAAAGCACGCCTACCAGTCCAGGATTTCCAAAAAAATCACCTTTGACACCTTCAACTGGGTAATCCCTAAATCCTGGACTGGTAGGCCATGAGGACTGGTTTGGAAAGCACTGGTATAGATGGTCGTTTTAAAATACACATCCTGTAGACAGCAGTTAGTGTTTTTTTTGTTTTGTTTTGTTTTTATTGTATATGTATCAAGAAAAATTACACCCATATACTTCGTTTATATAGCACCAACAGTTTTACTAAGCACTTTACATGAACATGACTGGTATTTAAAGGACCACTATAGTGCCAGGAAAACACACTCGTTTTCCTGGCACTATAGTGCCCTGAGGGTGCCCCCACACTCAGGGAACCCCTCCCGCTGGGCTCTGGGGAGAGAAAGGGGTTAAACTTACCTCTTTCTCCAGCGCCGGGCAGGGAGCTCTCCTCCTCCTCTCCGGCTGAATGCACATGCGCTGCAGGAGCTGCGCGCGCATTCAGCCAGTCTCATAGGAAAGCATTCATAATGCTTTACCATGGACGCTTGCGTCTTCTCACTGTGATTTTCACAGTGAGAAGCACGCAAACGCCTCTAGCAGCTGTCAATGAGACAACCACCAGAGGGCTTTAGAGGCTGGATTAACCTATTTATAAACATAGCAGTTTCTCTGAAACTGCTATGTTTATAAAAAAAAAAAAAAGGGTTAACCCTAACTGGACCAGGCACCCAGACCACTTCATTAAGCTGAAGTGGTCTGGGTGCCTATAGTGGTCCTTTAAGATCTTAAATCAGAGTAGGAGTAAATCATGAGGTAAACAAATTGATCATTTTATCTTAAAGGACACCTGTCACCTCATAAATATATTTTAATATAATGATACTTTCATCAGGTTTTGAAATGAAATAGATTGTGTCAAATGAAATATAGATTTTTTTTAAAATCCCTATATTTAGTATATGACTGGATCCTTCAGCCTTCACGCCTTGAGTAACATAGTGTTTATAAACCTATATCAAGTCTTCCCTGCTTAACTTCAAGCACAGTGCACCAACATCATCAGACCACCAATTGTCAAACTGAAACACTGAGTGACCCAAGGTGCTGAAGGATCCTGTCATACACTAAACGTAGAGATGACATTTTCTTAATTCTTTACGTATAATTTATTTAACAAACAGTCAATTTCCTTTCAAATCTTGATAAAAAGATCATTATATTAAAAGATAGTGTTGAGGTTAAAGTTATTTTTTAAGGTACTATTTGTGTAATCTTGTTCACCCTTTTCATGGTCTGGATTTTTGTGGTTTTATAGGCATAAACACTTAATTTTATATTGTTATGGAGCCTTAGTAAATAGTACATTAGCAATTTGCAATTCGACTATGACATGAATCATCCCAAGAAGATCATGTGAACACTGCATATGCATAACTAAGTTTTAATAACTTGTTTCTATAGTGTGTGCAAGACCTTAATACAATTGCCAACCTATAGAATAATACATTTATTTATTGCTCTATATCAAACTGTGTTGCATACTCACCATCCTTTGTGGAACTGATGCATAATTGGGGAATCCTAGTACATCCTTCAAAAAATTTGTTTCACAATTTCTTCCTACCCAGAGGTAGAGAGACTATGGAGAGTAAAATACAAATAAAGTTAAACTAAGAAACAATAAAAAGCAGTTAGAATATCTAAAAATACATAGTATTATTTTGCGCAGTCAAAGTTAATGGTTTTATATTATGTTCAAATGGCATCAACTTATTTTATATACAACAAGCTCTATTAAATAAAATTCATGTTTTTCTTTACACAAAAAAGGGGGATTTGTTTTTCCCCAACATGGCATCTTTTATATATATATATATATATATATATATATATATATATATATATATATAGTGTATTCAGACCCTTTCATTTTTCAAATTTAAAATGCTGCAAGTTTTTTAATTTTTTTTTTTTACATCAATCTACACTCAATACCCCATAATGACAAAGCAAAAACACAATTTTTGACATTACTGCAAATATATTAAACGAAAGAACAGTGATTTAAGTATGGCTTAACATTTGAAGTCCTATGCTACTAGCAAGGCCTCAAGTTACTTGCCACTGTAAGCTATCGCATACTCACCAGGGTTAAGTTTTAACTCGCCAATGGTTATTGGCAATTATGAGCACTGATGTAAATGTTCAGAACCTTAACTCAGTACCTAGTTAAAGCACATGTGGCAGCGATTACAGCTTCAAGTTTTTTTTGGTCACAACGCAATAGGATTGGCACACCTGGCTTTGCACAATTTCAGCCTTTCATCTCTGCAGATTCTCTCAAGCTCGGTCAGTTGAATGGGGATACTCAGACGACAGACATTTTCAGGTCTCTCTAGAGATGTTTGATTGGGTTCAAATCTGGGCCACTCGAGGACATTCATAGAGTTGTCCCTAAGCCACTCTTGCATTGTCTTGATTGTATGCTTAGAGACATTATCTTTTGGTAAGTGAACCTTCGGCGACGTTTTAGGTCCTGAGCACTCTGAAAAACGTTTTCATTAAGATTATCTCTGTATTTTGCAGAGTTCAACTTTTTATCAACCCTGACCAGTGTTCCAGACCCTGCTGCTGAATAACACCCACACAGTATAATGCTACCACCATTATAATGGTATTGCAATGGTGATGAGCAGTGCCTGGTTACCTCCAGACAAGATGATTTGTAGTGAAGCCAAACTGTTCAATCTTTGTTTCATCAGACCAAATAGTCTTATTTCTTACAGTCAGAGACTTTCAGGTGCTTTTTTGCAAATTCCAAGCAGGATTTTATGTGTCTTGCATTAAGGAGAGATTTACATCTGGTTATACTGCCACAAAGAAAAGAGCGGTGGAGTGTTGTAGTCATGGTTGACCTTCAGCTAATTTCTCCCATTTTCATATATGATCTCTGAAGCCATTAGCTGTAGAAAGAGTCCTAGTTGTTTCATACTACTTCCATTTAAGAATTATGGAAGCCACTGTGCTCTTGGGAACCTTCAATGCAACCAAATTAGTGTGTGTTCTTCCCAAGATCTGTGACAGCACAATCCAGCCTCGGAGCTCTGCAGATGGTTACCTTTACCTGAACCTGATGGCTTGGTTTTTGCTCTGAAATGCATGTAGACCCCATATAGATAGACAGCTGTGTGAATTTCAAAAATCAGTCAACTAAATTTACCAGTGGTGGACTCCAATCAAAGTGTAAAATCATCTCAAAGATGACCGAGCAAAGAGGGATGTATTTGAGCTAAATTTTAAGTGCCAAAATGCACTTTTTCTTTTTAATAAATGTACAAAGTTTTGAAAAAAATTGTTTTTGCTTTGTCAGTGTGGATTATTGGGTTTAGATTTATTAAACATATATGAAAAAAACAAGGGGTCAGAATAATTTCTGAATGCACTGTATATATTAATTGGAGAGTTCTTTCTTATCTTTAGACTTGAGTCCTAATCAGATGCTTCTTAAAAAGAAACATTGGGACAGATGGTACATGCAGTGCAATCTCTGCAATATGCTAATAATGCTTCTGACAGAAAAGCACAGAGAATGGAAAGCACTCACTTCTGCAGTTCACAGTAAGTAACATGGGAAACCCTCCTGGCTGTCTGCTGCACAGTCAGAAAATATTACCGAGGGGATTCATAAAAGTTCTGATTGGCCAAAGGGAACACACAGTTAACTTGAATGTACTTCAGCAAGCTAAAGTGTTTTAGTGGACTGGAGTGTCCTTTTAAAGTTTTAAATGTAAATAATGTAACAATTTATTTTAACAACAGAACTATAACGTACACCCTAGTGGAACAGACATCAGTTTTATCGATGTCTTACGGTGCAACCCCAAACATCTGTCATGATTTTTCTCTTCAAAATAAAGGGTTTTTTTGTTAAAGGACCACTATAGTGCCAGGAAAACATACTCGTTTTCCTGGCACTATAGTGCCCTGAGGGTGCCCCCACCCTCAGGGTCCCAATACCGCCCGGCTCTGGAAGGGGGAAAGGGGGAAAAACTTACCTTTTTCCAGTGCTGGGCGGGGAGCTCTCCTCCGTTCCTCCCCATCGGCTGAATGCCCACGCGCGGCAGAAGCTGCGCGCGCATTCAGCCGGTCGCATAGGAAAGCATTATCAATGCTTTCCTAGGGACGCTTGCGTGCTCTCACTGTGATTTTCACAGTGAGAATCACGCAAGTGCCTCTAGCGGCTGTCAATGAGACAGCCACTAGAGGATTTGGGGGAAGGCTTAACCCATTCATAAACATAGCAGTTTCTCTGAAACGGCTATGTTTATAAAATAATGGGTTAAGCCTAGCTGGACCTGGCACCCAGACCACTTCATTAAGCTGAAGTGGTCTGGGTCCGTAGAGTGGTCCTTTAAGTTAATGACAAGTTGATTAACTCACTAAGAAATCATCTACAGATAAAACGTATTGGGACAGAATTGTATGGAATGCTAAAAATAATTCTGGGTGAACCAGTGAGTATTTTGAACCTTGTGAGATAATGTGACTATTGAGCTTGTGATATTCATGCCAATGATGTCTCACACTAGTTACCTTTGTCTCATCTTATTTATGCCAGTGGTAATACAGTATACATTTCTAAGCAGACTAGCTGTTTTAAACATACTGAAACTAAAAATATAGTGTTTTAAACACTCTTACACTGTACTGAGCATTGTAAAGTTGTTTTCTGGAGACAGGATCTATTATTATATAGTTGCTGAGAAACTGTACATTATCCGTTACTATACAGATCAATAGTATAATCACTACTGATATTTGGTTCCACACATGTCAATCAGAACTGGAAAGTTATATTAAAAATAGAGCGAATATTACAAGCAAATTGTTAAAAAAAAAAAAAAATACATACTGAGCCAGAATCCATCAAGAAAGCTCCATCTCTTGATAGTTTTTCTGCAGACAAGGCCTGAAGGCATGGTTGTGGTACAGTCCAGTCATTTACAAGGATAGCACCCTGTTAAACAAAATAGCAGCATTATTAAACAGTTTTATTAGTTAGGCACTAGTTGTAACATGGGATGTTTCACTGTCAAATATCATAATTATGAAATTATTTTATATTATGAAAAAGTTATTTTGAATACAATCTTTAACTCCACTATTTTGACATTAAATTAACAAAGTAAACACACAGATTATAGAGCAAAACAGATGCTACAATACAATTTAGATACTCTACAATGTAAAGTAATTTACATTGTAAATTGTCCTCTACAAGACACGTTTAATTTTAGTTACGAATTCTTTATTAAATGTTAGTAAATCGGTTCCTCCCCATCCTACACCCTAAAACTTAAAAAACCCAAAAACTGGCGCTGCTCTCCACGCCCCATTTGACGCCAAAGCCTCCCCCTCTCTCCGAGGTCCTATTAAATGCTTCATAGAGAAGCTCTGAGCTGGCAAGGGGAAGGAAGTGATTGAAAGAAAAATATATATATAAAAAAAAAACACACGCTGTGAAAATTTAGGGTTAAACCGTTCGAGAATGGTTTAACCCCTTCAAGTAAGAAAGTGCCTGGGAACTTCCTGGCACCACAACAACTTCATTTTGATGAAGTTGTTGTGGTGTCTAGAGTGTTGCTTTGTAATACTTTTTTTTAATGTTTTTGACAATCTTTATTTTAATTTTATGTAAAGTTTCAGACAAGAAAAGACAAAGAAGAAAAGACAAGACAAGGTCAGTTTGGTTTAAGAGAAACATCCTGCCAGAGTATATGAGTATAATTTTTTTTTAATAAAGCTTGATAGTTTTCCCGTTCCCTCAACCTGCCACAGTCAAAAACTTCCTGGCTATACCTATGGTTAATTTTCAAGTCTGAAGGCATCAACGTATCCCCATTCAGACTTGGAGAAAGGCACCTGGAGTGGCAGGGGGGAGGGAAGGGGGATAAGGAACGCTGTGTATTAAAAGGGAAGAGGGGTAAAAAAGGGAGAGGGAAAAGGAAGGGGGGAGTGGGATTAGTAAGCCCCCCCTTTTCTGAAGCCTTATTCTCTGACCCGCAACTCACTTCATTTCCTTACGCATTATGTGACATGTAATTAAAGGACCACTTAAGCTCAATGAAGTGGTCTGGGTGCCAGGTCCATTTAGAGTTAACCCTGCAGCTGTAAACATAACGGTTGTAGAGAAACTTACATTAGTGGCTGTTTACATTGACAGCCGCTAGAGGCGCTTTTGTGCCTCTCACTGTGATTTTCCCCTAAACTCCTCGATCCCGGCGGGAGGAGGGCCATGAGGGAGGGGGGGGACCTATTAACACTAAAGGGCCAGGAAAACCATTTTTTTCCCCTGGCACTATAGTGGTCCTTAACCCCTTAAGGACACATGACACGTGTGACATGTCATGATTCCCTTTTATTCCAGAAGTTTGGTCCTTAAGGGGTTAAAGCCATGGAGTTCACATCCAGTAGCAGTTTTCAACTCTGTCTTGTTGGAGTTTTGCTGTGAGTGACACCATTTCTTTTATATATATATATATATATATATATATATTTATTATTTTTATTTTCAATTTTAACAAAATTGCCAGAGAGGAATATATATATATATATATATATATATATATATATTTCAATTAAACCCAATACTTCATTGCAATTCAGCAAAAAAACTCATATATGTCAAATACATAAGTATGGCAGATTTTACGGCAATAAACATAAGACATTTATAATAATATTGAACAAATTATACAAAAAAAACCAAAACACATACATAAGTTAAGTGCCTCCATTTCATATAGCTTCTCTACCCTTTCACACCTCAGCTGGAGGGTGGGAGCTTCCATAGGATTGGCATTAAGGCCTTTGCTGCATTAAAAAGGTATCTTGTTATGCACTTTTTTGTATCTCCCCAATGGTAGGGGTGTTTGATCATGTAGAACAGCTTCAGAAGTGAACGCAGGAGCCATCGCCAATGTTTTAGTAATTCCCTCTTTTACCAATTCCCACTAGGGAGAAATTACTGGTCAAGTCCACCATATATGGAGTAAAGAACATTCTTGAAACCCCTCAAAAGTAATAGAATGAACACATTCATCTAGTTACTTGGTTTCCTTTTTAATAAGGTATGTAGATAATTTGGAGGGTGGTTTTTTTCTCGAATGCAAAGATTACTGGTCTGGGGTTCAAGCTCACATAAGCTTCTACCCAATACACAGAAAATGTGGCTATAGTCTCACCCCATCTACTTACCTTACCCTTTCCCCCGTTTACTCTCCTTCTTCCTTTATCCCTCTCGCAGTGACCCCACAAATTTTGTACACAAGTAGGTTGTTGTTATTTGGGTTCCTTCTGTTATTCATATCACATTCTATTTTTTTTTTTTTTTAATTGTGTTGCAAAGTTTTAACAATACATCAAAGTGGGTTAGACATAAGGGTTGTAACACATAAACAAGACTGTTCAATATCCATTGGTTACCCCATACCTCATAACCTCTAGTACATCTATTACATCCCCGTCAAGCATTATGGATGTCTGTGGAGTTTCAGCGGGTGTTGGTGTGCACAGAAGGGTATAGGGAGAAGGTAAACCTTTGTCCACCTCAGGCTTCTCACTCCTTAAGCTGCCGTCACCCAGATCCCCATTGTATACATTTGCGGCTACAGTAGCCTGGAATGGGAGGGGGGGGGTCAGATTCTAGTGGGCTACCCGGGAGCATTTTGGAGGTATGCACTCCAGAGTTCCCAGGTGGCAGTGTATAGATGGTACTTGTCTGTCATAGAGTGGCATGTCTCTTCCAGGCCTCTGATAGTCTCGACCTTTTGTATCCATTCCCTTATGGATGGGGGATTTGGATTTTTCCAGTATACTGAAATGAGTTGGTTGGCGGCCGAAATCATGTGGTATAGTAGGGTTGCTTTTGGTTTGGGTAGTGTTTGTGATGGCACTAGGAGGATGAACGTGTCTGGCGTGAGCGGAAGATGTATGGATAGTATCATTTGAATTTGGCCTTGTATGTGTTTCCAATACTCTTGTATTGTTGGGCACGACCACCATATGTGTGCTGAATTCCCTTCTGCCGTATGGCACCTCCAACACCTGTTTGAAAGTGATGGGAAATGTGATTTCAATTTGGTCGGAGTATAATGCCATCGCGCTATGCGCTAGTAGTTTTCTTCTTGCGTGAGTGTGTTACGTGATGTGTGGTGGATTTGTCTAAAAATGTAACGCCAAGTCTCTGGCGTGAAGGCCTTGTTAAGTTCCTTTTCCCAGGAGGTGGTAAAAGCTGGTGGGTTGAGGGGTTGAGTGGCTAATGTCGTGGTGTACATTGCTGAGATGAGCCTTTTCTTAATGGATTGATCGAGGCAATGTTGTTCAAATTTAGTTTGTGCTCGGTGTGGATTATGTGCGAGTGGTCCTGTGAGGACGAAGTGGGTGAGTTGCCTATATTGGAATTTGTGTATTATCGTTTGTGGGTCTATAAGGGAGCCAAGGGGTTTAATCTTACGGTCCCCTATATTCTCCATCAGGTCCCCCAGTTTTAGGTAGGCTGAGTTGTGGTACTCCTTAAAAGCTTTACCGTCCTCACCTGGCCTGAACAAGGGGTTGTGTGTGACCGGGTACAGCGGAGACGGATAGGGGGAGATCGTCTGGTGTTGTCGTATTCTAGTCCACATGCGTAAAGTGGGGGAAATGGTAGGGTGTGGGGCATGAAGGAGGAAAGTCTGACCCGATTTTTGCCATGGGATCGTGTATATTGGCGCTCTTAGGAATGTATCTTCTATTTGTACCCATTGTTTGGTGGTGTTGGTGGATGCCCAGTCAGAGTCTAGTTAGGAGAATTGCATCGTGGTACTTCTCGATATCTGGGAGTCCGATGCCTCCCTCCCCCTTTGGTCTAATGAGAAGCGAGTGTGAAAGTCGGGGTGTTTTATGTGCCCATATGTACAATGAGAGGGTTTTGCGTACCAGCGTGAACCATGTTTTAGGGATCATGATGGGTAGAACCTGCAGGAGGTACAGAAGTCTGGGCAATATGTTCATTTTTAATATACTGAGTCTGCAAAACCAGCTGAAATATGGCTTGTTCCAGGTGTTAAGGTCAGCTGTTATGTCTTTCATCAGTTTCGGGAAGTTACTGTCAAATAATTGAGACGCATCTTTGGTAATGTGGATTCCTAGATATTTGATATGGTGGGGGGCCCACGTGAATTGATGTTCATTTTGTAGTTTATGTTGCTCCTGGGGATGTATGTGTATGGGTAAGATCTCACATTTGCTGAGGTTGGCTTTGAAATTGGAGAGTTCGCTGTAAGTGTGCATTTCCGCCATAAGAGGTGGTATTGAGGTGCCCGGGTCTGAGATAGTGAATAGCATATCGTCGGCGAATGCAGCTATTTTGTACTCCCTATCGCCTGCTGTGATTCCTTTAATTTGCGTGTTATCTCTGATCCCCTGTAGGAAGGGTTCTAAGACTAGTACGAATAGAAGGGGAGACAGGGGACATCCCTGCCTGGTGCCATTTGTTATTTGTACTGGGTCTGAAAGCTGCCCATTCACTCTGATATTTGCTGTGGGGTATGAATATATGGCGTTGAACCATTTCTGCCAGTGGGGGCCAAAGCCCATGTGCTGTAGGGTGGATGAGATTAAGCTCCAGTCTACCCTGTCGAACTCCTTTTCGGCATCAATCGACAGGAGTAGACTGGAGCACTTCGTTCGCCTGGTCAGGTGTATGAGGCTAAGCAGTTTCGTCGTGTTATGTTTAGCTTCCCTGCCTGGAATGAAGCCTGACTGGTCTGCATGTATGAGCCCTGGTAGCAGTGGACGTAGCCGGTTCGCCAGTATTTTCGTAAAAAGTTTTAAGTCCACATTTATCAGCGAAATAGGTCTATAGCTGCCGCATTGGGTCAGGTCCTTACCCGGTTTGGGGAGGAGGGTAATTGTGGCATTTAATGCTTGGGGGGGAAGGGTACCAGATTTAAGTAGTGAATTAAATGTGTTTCGGAAATGAGGCATGAGTGTCTTGGCAAATGTTTTATCACTTCTAGACATTCGTCCGTCGAGATAGGAGCGTCTAAGGCCTCTCGTACGTTTCGTGGAATGGTGGAGTGTATTCTCTGTGCTAGGAATTCCTGTATGTCGTGAGGTTGGGGAGGAGTTTGTCTCAAATTGTAGAGTGATGAGTAGTAGTCCTTGAACGTCTTTAGAATGTCTGTCATCGAGTGTGAAATAGTGCCCTCTGGGTTAGGTATCGCTGCTATAAACATGTGTTCCCTTTGCTTTTTGAGGGCATACGCCAGTAGCCGCCCGCATTTGCCCCCTTGAGTATAGTAATTGCACCTCTTTTTGGCCAGCGCATGTTTGGTGCGTACGTTTAAAATGATATTGAGTTCTGTCCTTTTGTCGACTAGGCTCTTGTATGTGGCTAGATCGAGGCCTTGTTTATGTGAGTTCTCTAGATCCCTAATTTCCTTAGTCAGTCGGGAGGTCTCTGATTCCCTTTGTTTCTTGAGTTTTGAAGCTTCTTTAATGATTGTGCCCCTGATCGTGCTTTTGTGTGCTTCCCACACTATTGGGTAGGGCGTGTCAGGGTGGACGTTTAGTTCAAAATATTGTGTAAGTGAGCTCCTAATTCTGGTCTGTATCTCCGGGTGGTTTAGCAGTGTATCGTTGAGTTTCCACTGTGTCCTGGAAGAGTGTAAGGAAGGGATTGCTATGTTCAGGGAGATAGGAGCGTGGTCTGACCACGTAATCGAGGCATATTCGCAGGTATTGACTAGGTTTAGGAATCTATGTGGGATAAGGAACACATCTATCCTAGAGTATGAGCCAGAAGTGTGTGAATAATAAGAGTAGTCGCGATCCGCTGGGTGTGAGGTGCGCCAGCAGTCGTAGGGTTGGTGGGAGTCTAGGATTTTTTGGATGTTTATTCTTGTGGATGCCTGGTATGAGTGTGCCTGTGAAGTGGTGTCGAGCGCCCCATCCAGGGACACATTCAGGTCCCCCCCTAGGATCAATAGTCCCTCTGAAAAGCTTTCCAATTTCGTAGTTATGTGTCGGAATGCCTGGGATTGCTTTCTGTTGGGCATGTAGATATTGGCTAACGTGACTTGGGTTGCGCCCATCAGGCCCTTTAAGAAGATAAATCTACCAGTGTCGTCTATTAGGAGGTCTCTGTATGTGAATGGGAGGTGTGAGGAGAGTAAAATGGCCACTCCCCTGGATTTTGAGCCAGTGAAGTTGCTGAAATAGCCCTTTGTGAAGTGTTTCGACTTAAGTGAAGGTGCTGAGTCCTTACGGAAGTGCGTTTCTTGTATGAAAACTACCTCAGCCTTGTGTTTGTGATAATCTGTGAGTGCCATGTGGCGTTTTTCAGGGGTGTTCAGTCCCCTGGCATTGTGCGATAGGATCGTCACTGTTGCCATCTTGGGATATTAGAGGGGTCAGTGCGTAATAAGGGAAAGGGAATGTGGTCTCTGGGAATGTTAGATGTTCTATATGCGGTGTACCCAGTTGAGTAAGACGTATGAGTAGAAGGTGTAGCTTGGTACAGGGCAGGATGTTTCAGATAGTGCAATAATCAAAAAGAAAGAAGTACAATACCATACAGTAAATAACAATAACCAAGAATAACTATGTACATAAAAAGCAATCTTTCGTTAGAGCCGGTCAGTCAGCATTAGTGGTCACTTGCTCTCCGGCAATGCGCGGGAACTGGGGTCAGCCCCTGAGAAGTCCTGTTGTCTACAGTGGGCTAGGGATTTACGACCCCGTTCGTAATAGGGTGCGGGTGAGGTGTGTGTCTTGTCGGTCTTAGAGGTCAGGTCGGTGATAACTATCAATCTAGACCGTCAGCCTCTGTGGCCGTGTGTTGGTGTCTGTAGTGAAGTAGGAATGCATGAGCTGTACGGAGCGGAGTCGCTTGAATTTCGTCTGTTAGTTTCGTGGAGGTTGTTGATGGAAGAATTTGCTACGGTAGTAGGGGGGGGTAGAAAGGTCTGAGTCCCGGGAATCCCGTATGCGCCCCCAAATGGTAAGACATGGTTCAATATCGGCCCTCTCTCTTTTTTTTTTAAGTACTCAAAGAGATACCTTTCTCCTTCAAAACTATTCGCTGCCGTTGGGTGGTGTCTGAAGTCTCCCGTGCCCTGTCGTACCCTGGCCCATCTCGCTCCCGCCCTTTGTCGCCCCGTCCCCAGCTGGTCCCTATTTGTCACATGCGTCAACTTTTGGGAACACTTCTGTCTGAGAGTGATAAGTTGCCGTTTGTCACATGAACAAGGCATGGAGCCAACGGAGCTCCTAGAATGAGTGTGACCATAGAAACATAGAATAGGGTACACACTGCGTGCATATGAGGGTAATGAAAATACAGTAGTTAGTGGTACAATCTCATATGGGTATAAGCAAGGATGGTTATACGACCTGATGGGCCAAGGGTTGTCATAGTCTTTCGGGCAGATGTTGCGAGGCTATGTTCGGACAGGGCTTTTGGCTTCGGCCGGGATCAAGACACGGCAACAGTACAGTTTGGGCCCAGAGTCTTGTGCCAAAACTTGGGTGATAGGGTCTGGGTGGATTGATATGGTGTTGGTCCATCTGGGGGGGAGGAGGGACGGGGACGACTCCACTGGTGCCCCTCTACTCCGTCTCGGTTTCTTCTCTTTGAAGCGGTGACGCTTGTGTCATCTTCTGCCTTTTAGCCGGTGATCTCCATTTCGGCGCTTGCTGTGCTGATGGGGCGGACAGTGCAGGATCTGGTGCATACCAATCCAAGATTTGCATTTCCGTCAGGCCCAAAGCTTTGCTGAATGCAGGGATGTCCTGGTAAGTGGCGATTGTATACATGGAGCCCCTGGTATTGACTGTTAGGGCGAAAGGGAAGCCCCATCTGTAGCGCAAGTTGCGAGCCCGTAGCTGGTGTGTTATTGGCCTTAAGGCCCTTCTTGCTTGCAGAGTGTGCCATGATAGATCTTGGTAAATTGATATTTCATGGCCTTGGAATAGCATAGGGGTGGAAGTGTCTCTTAATTTTCTTATGATGTCCTCTTTTAACGCGTAGTAGTGGACGCGGCAGATGACATCCCTTGGCGTGCTCCCTGGTCCCATTTTAGCTTTCAGGGAACGGTGCGCTCTGTCGAGGATCACTGGAGCGTCAGGTTTTCGGCCCAGGATCAGGTTAAACAGCGTGGAGAGCGTTGTGTATAAATTTTCCCCCTCTGTTTCAGGTAGGCCTTTTATCCGAAGGTTATTCCTACGGCCCCTATTATCAAGGTCGTCCACCGATCTTTGCATCATGGACATATGCCTTTCTTGAGCATTTACTTTGGTAGTCAGGGTCTGTATCTGGGTGTAATAAGCCCCCCTTTCATCCTCAAGCTCCTGCACTCTGCGGCCTACCTGCTTTATTTCAGTGCTGAGACCCTCCATCTTGGTCTGGAAGGAAGTTTCTAGTTTGCCTAGCATTTGAGCCAGGTCTGTTTTTGATGGGAGATTCTTCAATATCTCCTTGACATCCATGTCTATGGAGTTTGTGGAGATGTCAGAGGTAGTGGGGCTCGGCGGATTCGAGTTTCCTGCCGTCGGCGCCATGTTGGATTCGCCGGTGTCGGACATGCGGTCGGCATAATCTTTGAAGAAACGGGTGACCGTTCCGGTTTTACCTGCCGGTGTCTTCCCTGTGTGTTGGGGGTTCGATTGGGCTCTTTTGGGGTTCCCCATGTTGTAGTAGTACCTCCTTTATACGCGATCTTCGCTCCGTTTTCTCGGAGCTCCATCAATGTGCTGCCATTCGGCTGGTCAAGCTTATTTTCTTTCATCACATTCTATTTTTGTGCACCATCTTATCTAGTACTGCCAAACTACCCTTTTAATTTTAAACTTGTTCAGCTATTATACTTCTTTGTATTCCTTACCTATTTAGATCTCCTACGTGTTACTATATCGTATAATAAACCATATCCACATTCCAAGACTGAACAGGAAAACCATGTATCCCAACAGATGGAAAGCAGAAGAGAGCTACATCCAAGCAGTACTGCCAAATCGGCGTAACTTAACTCTCATTTCACGCTAGCTGAATCCGAAAATCTCTCCTGTTATCATCAAAACCCGTTCTCATTAGAAGCAGCTGTTATCACTTCTCTAACCCTGCATTCCAGCTAGTTACAGTGGTCTCTGCAGGAAACTAGAGCCAACAATACAGGTTTGAGAGAGGTTTGTGATAGCCTTAATTATAAGCAGTTTAGAACCCCCAGCCGATTATGTAGAAGGCATGAGAGCAAGAAAAGAACATCACAAAAAAGACAAAATACTGGCCCAGGAAATTATCCAACTTCTATAAACGAAGATTAGTTTAATTACACCTAATCTGAACTTTTCAAACAATTAAACCTGAGAGAGAAAAATATATATTTCAATAAGTCTTCACCAAAACACACAACTAAATGCATAAGCTGTAGGCAATTGACAGTATGAAAAGAGACTGCATTGGTTTTGCATAGCTGAGAGAACAAAAAAAAACACAATTTACAGTCCTGGACCAGCCCATAAAGCAACTTTATTGCAACAAAGACACAAGCTGTGATTTCAATTGAAACAATCAGACTGGGATGTCTGGAAATGCTAAAATGGCACTTTCAGCACAGTGTAAATGCAGACTGCAGAGGATTGCTTCATATTTCATGCATATCTCTCCATACCTCATCAGTGAGCCGGTCTACCCTGTAGAGGTTTGGATGAATCATTTTCATCAGATGAACCAGAGGCTGATATTTCATCTGGCACATAGCAAAGACTCGATCATCTAGACGTGTGCTGGTGCCAGTCCTGAAGGCTTTCTAAGAGAGAGCATTAACGAACAGATTGGATTTCTTATTTCTCATGCAGAGAACAAATAGAAAGAAATAACTAGATGATATATGTAATTAGGCAACCTGTTAAGAATACATGTGCATCAAAGACTTGCATTTGTCAGTGAATACATTTCTGTCAATGTTAGAGGCTCAAAACCATATTATTTTCATTGTATTTATAAAAAATTATATATATCTACAAGGATACATTGAGAGTAATCTCATTTTCAAGTATTCGCACTGTCTGTGAGTGATGACACACACACGTCCTTTAAAGGACCACTATAGGCACCCAGACCGCTTCAGCTCAATGAAGTGGTCTGGGTGCCAGGTCCATCTAGTTTTAACCCTGCAGCTGTAAACATGGCAGTTTCAGAGAAACTGCTATGTTTACATATGGGTTAATCCAGCCTCTAGGGAACACACCTATTAACACTATAGTGCCAGGGAAACGAGTTTGTTTTCCTGGCACTATAGTGGTCCTTTAACCCCTTAAGGACACATGACATGTGTGACATGTCATGATTCCCTTTTATTCCAGAAGTTTGGTCCTTAAGGGGTTAAATAAATTTGTTTCTTTTATAAATAATGTATTTGTTTCTTTTAGTATACTACATTTCAATATCTCATTTATATAAAATAGACAAAATAGAAAAAGTAAAATAAATAACAAAATGCTTAGAACTGGCCTTGCAGTGCAGGTATTATAACTAGGCTCATGTAACTGCAGGTCAACTGTATTTAACGCCACATTTTTATGTTTTTAATGCAAGTGCAAATATGTAAACTAGTAGAAGTCTGCCGATAAATATAGACGAGCTATATATATGTGTGTGTGTGTGTGTATGTATGTATATATATATATATATATATATATATATATATATATATATATATATAGTACATAGACACATTTACTAACACACACACACACACACACACAATCATTACAAACATAATAATATAACATACTTGCTTCAGGAGGGAGAGAATGTAGAGGGGAAATAGTTTGAGAGACTGCGGTGCTACTAATGTGGATTGCTGTAGGTTTGAAAGTGTTGCGTTGTAAGATGATAAAGAATCCACCACTGCATTTACCAACGCATCTCTGGCATCTGAAAGACTTGATGTGATTGATCGATCAACAGCTGAAATAACAAAACCACATACAATGAAAAGTAAAAAAATTAGAATACTTATGAAGAACTTTTATTAGGTTTTAAAATCACATTCATTACAAAGCAAATCATGGAACTTGTATAAATAACTAGTTAAGCAGCTTCATCTATATTTTAATTATCTAAATCAGAAGCTGAAAACAGGAATACATTTAATCTTGGTGACAACAAATGGATATACAAGCAATAAAGCATAGTCAGAATCTTCACCGATGTGGGAGGCTGGGATTCTAGAGGGCAGCACTGATTCCTATTGTTATACTTTTCTTTGTTGTAACTTTGTTTCTGTAAAATAACAATAGTTCTATATCCATTTTTTACTTTTCAGTAGAAATAATTTTAAAAAATAACTGATAGAACAAACAAGGCTAGCTTTTTTTTTTTTTAAACTATAGCAGTTAAGACATTTCGAGCAATACGATTGTAATCACATAACACCTACATACAACTAGATGATTTACACATGTGTTTTTATACTGATTAAAATGTTATAAAATTTTATAACGTTCCTAAAAAGTCTTTTACAACAACGCATTTACAAAAAGTAACAAAGAAAGGGTACTAGGTACACTCCAGGGAAACTACACCATAACTAGAACTACCACAACTACTGTCCAGCAGGCAGTGGCAGATACAGAGGGAGAGAGGACAGGAAAAGTGATTGCTAACTGAAGGGTCATATCCACTCTGTCCCCAAATGCCTGTATCAACGTTATTAAGCCTGTTACACACACACACAAAAAGAAAAGGAGGACATTTTGTCAGTCATGAAGCAAGACATAAGTGTCTGTAGCAATGCAGAAACTGCATGCCTAAATACCTGTGGGTAAGTGTCAATCAAAGCATATTTTAAGTTTGTGTATCTGTGTTTGTATCAACTTTTTAGAATCTATCACAAAATCTAGCAATGCCACACAGTCTGTGACCCTTATACAGACGCAGTCCATTAGCTCCCTAACGTAATCCAACAATGGGGTCACTGGCCAGTAAGGCATATATGGCTGGGAAGTAACTGGGTATGGTGAAAATATACAAGAGGATATACCGAAAGATATTCCATAAGAGCTGTGAAGGCTTTGTAGAGAGTATTGCTGGAGGCATGTATGGTTTTAGAGGGAAGTATGGCTGTTAGATGATCCAATAATACTTATATTAACTGTCCACTAAAGTGGACAGATGCTTGGCATGGGTAGACACATTGTAATAATTATGTATTATTATTCCTATTTGCTTTATGAAACCATGTGGTTAAACCATTGATGCACATTATAAATCCACAAGTAGATTTAACAGAATGTTTGGCAATGCACTTAGAGCAGAGTGGCATTTAACCTTGTGCGCAAAGCAGCCACTTAATATGTAGAGTTGAAAGTACTAAAATACTTTACATAATATTTGAAGAATGTATATTTGATAGTAATGAAAGCCTACATTGCACAATGCATTATGAAATTTGTTTGAGGATTGCAAATTATTTTTTTTTACTTTACAAAAAATCAGACCAATTGAATAATGTCACCATAAGAGTACCTTACATGATAATGTAAGTGATTTATAAGGAGCCTTTAAAAAGACCGCATTGTTTTTCGTTTCAAAATCACAGCGGTTTTGCATACCCATGTTAGCCAAGAGACAGGTAACTGCTTGTACATCAGCGCCTGCGAAAACATCGGGCAATGAATTCACGACAGGCAAGCAAAGTGTGTGTACTCGAATCCTCCGCTGACCTGTTCAGCATAAAAAAAACAAAAACAAAAAAAAAAACAGATATACCAGTCATTAATTTGAAACTCCAGTATTGTACAATTATTATTGCACAGTCTAGAAGAAACAAATGTATAACAAACAGATTAAAATGAAAGCAATTAACTAGTTACAGATAAATTCTGTATTTCTAGACAAACTAAAGACTTAGAAGTTCTAATAAGTTGCTTAAATGTGCATATGTTGAAAATATTATATATTCTAACACTTTTATGTTCAGGGTGAGGTCATCACATAGTGATGCTACAAGTGCGCTCATCTACAGAGAAATGGCCTGCATACTTAGGTATTCACTTTATGTGACCCCATATATGGCACAGTAGGAATCAATAAATGTAAAATGATATGCTGTGACTAAGCAAGGATTGCAGACATGCAATGTAGATTAACATTGTTCAGAATTATTTAATTTTAAAAAGCACAAGAAAAACCTTAATAATTAACAGAGGTTGTACATAAATTTCAATATGAGAGCCCAGCTTTAAATTATGAGGAGATTTACCAAAAATTTAAAAAGTTTTGATAATTTTGGAATATTACAATACTTTTTGTATGTCACCAATTATACAAATGTCAAAGAAAAGAAGAAAGTTTTTTCTCCTACTCTTACTCGGGCAATGACCGTTGTTTTTAATTTTTTGAATGGTTTTGTTTTATATTAACAAAACAAAATGGATAAAACACACAGTGCCGTGTCTCTCTAATATACCCAGCATTTAATAATAATTAAAATCTTCTAAGTTGTATTTTTGCATAAGACTTTCCATTAATTGGTGCACTTTGGTACATTAAAATAATCAATCGAAATGGAGATATTTGATTACATTTGCATGATTCCCCAATCTCAGAGGATAACCATGGAGACCTTGCTTCACAATTTAATCCAAACAATTAGGACTTTCCCAGTTGTATCTTCCATCTAAGCAGATTCTACTAAAAACAATGTTTCTCGTTGATGTAAACTTTTAGTTGTGGTGTTTTTACCCTCTTGGTATTTATAAACTTAAGGTAACTGATTATAGCTATTGCAGCAACTAGCCCTGTGCAAAAATAAAACAAAAAAACCTAAAAACACACATGAATACACTAAACTCAGATTTTTTTTGCTAATTAGATTAAAATATCAAACACTGTGAAGAAGATTAAGAGTTATTCCACATTTTTTTTTTATTGTCAGTTTTTCCATTCAAATTTAATTTGTTAAAATCTGTTAATCATAAGGTATGTGGATGAACTTACCTTTGCTAGAAGTGTAAAGAAGTGCAACCTGAAAGCATGCCAGAGATGTGTCAGTCAGATTTTCTTCAACAGACATCTGTACTGCAAAACCAGAATCTTCATTAACATTTGCGAGAGACAACAGGTCCGTGGAACGCACAAAAAAATTCCCGTGAAAAGTGTGTATGGAGAGACCTGAAAATGTAATACAAAACACAAAAAAATAAATAAACACATTACTTAAAAAAAAATTATTGAAAAAAATTATATATGTGTTTGTGTATAAGGCATTTGTGTTGCAATGAAAACCAACAACTGATTTCAGATGTGCTACTCCGATATGGTCTTTGTGGAACATGTAGGCCAGCAGTGAGGGGCAGGAATATGGCACATACAGACGTCTTAAATACAGAGCACAATGTAATGGACTGTAAGCTACATGGTTAGACCATTTCACTACGGTGAATAAGAAAATCTTGTAGATGACATCATCAGTAATCTACAGGCCCCTGGCTGGGGCAAAAACGCACACAATCGTGCTGCATTACACTACCTATGTTGGCTTCCCTGCTTGAAGTGCACCTTATCAGATTCCTGAAAACTCTTTAATGACAGGTTAGAACCATACACGACCTTAACTAATTACGCACTAAGCTAATTTCACATGGACATTAAACCTAACATATCTTTGCATTCTGGAGATATGAGTCAGCAGACTGTCAGTCTTCTGGTTTATTATGATTTCTCCGGAAGCCCACAATGGAATAATTTTCCCACAATACAAGTAACACTGTTGTCCTTTCAAGCTGCATTTTATATATGGAAAATGCAGCTTAAACTGACACTTTTCACCAGAACCAATACAACTTAATGTAGTGATTTTAGTGTCTATAAAGTCTGTCTTTGCAGGCATATTAATGTAAAAACTGCCTTTTCAGAGAAAAGGCAGTTTTTACATTGCTGCCTAGTAGACCCTATGGTGGAAGTCACTCAGATGGCCACTAGAGGGGTTTCCTACCTCAGTGCTACAGTGTGCAGTACTGGCGTTCAGTGTCACCATGCTCAATGCATCTCTATGAGGAGATACCAAATGACACATTGTTGCGTTTGGAAGTGCCTGTGCAATAGACACCAGGGCCGGACTGGCCCACCGGGATACCGGGAAATTTCCCGGTGGGCCGCAGCACCTGGGGGGTGCGCTGCCACATAGGTGGCACACTGAGAGGGGGCCGGCCGCGTTCCAGACTGGAGCCGCCGGGCCTGGTGGTAGCTTCGCCGGTCCGGTGGCACTTCAGTCACTGGTGTCACTGATGGCTGAAGGAGGAGGAGCCTGTCTACCATGCTCCCTTGCGGTTCCCACAATTCCCAGCACAGAAACCGCGAGGGAGCATGTTAGACAGGCTCCTCCTCCTTCAGCCATCAGTGACTGGAGTGCCGCTGGACTGGTAAAGCTGCCACCCGGCCCGGCGGCTCCAGTCTGGAATGCGGCCGTCCCCTCTGCCTTCTCTAAAGTAAATTGGGGGCGGGGGGGAGAGACACAGGGAAAGGGGAGAGGGAGGGAGAGACACAGGGAAAAGGGGAGGGAGGGAGAGGGGAGAGATAGGGAAAGGGGGGGAGGGGAGAAGGAGGGAGAAGAAGGAGAGACACAGGAAAGGGGAGGGAGGAGAGGAGAGACAGGAAAGGGAGGGAGAGGAGATGGAGAGGGAGAGACAGGGAAAGGGGGAGATTGGAGGGAGAGAGACACAGGGAAAGGGGGGAGGAAGAGAGATGGGGAGAGGGGAGAGAGACAGGGAAAGGGGGGAGAGATGGGTTGGAGGGAGACACAGGGAAAGGGGGGAGGGAGAGATACAGGGAAAGGGGGTGAAAGAGGCAGAGGGGGAAGAGAGAGACAAAGAGGGAGAAAAGAGAGAGACACACAAGGGGAGGGGAAGAAAGAGGCAGAGGGGGAAGAGAGAGACTGGGAAGGAGAGGGGAGACATTGACACACACACACACACCATACACATTCACACACTGCCCCCACACACACCATACACATTCACACACTGCCCCCCACACCCACACACTGAACCTTTCACACACATTGCACCACTGCTCCTATACCCTACTACAGCCCCATATCCCAGCAGACTCCAGGTAAGTTGTCAAACTGTTCTTAAACGGTTTGACTACTTACTCTGGGAGGGGGTGCCGACACTCCTGGCACCATAACCACTACACAGCGGAGTAGTGGTTATTGTGCATGGAATATTTCTTTAAATAATCTACAAGTGCCCCTCCCGGGCTCAGGCTCTGGATCCGTCACTGGTATATGACATGTATATTAATGTGTATATTTGATATATATTTACACATATTAATGTACATTTATATATGCATAATACACAGAGAAATTTCATGTACCATATGTAATGAGCAGATATTGGCCCAATCTTGTTGCTAGGTGCAAACTCAAGCACAATAACATATTTAAAGTGAAGAGCACACCCACAGGACTTCAAAATAAACATTTTTTACAGTTGTGCCCTACATACCTTCACCATTTCAGTCCCATTATCAAGCTTTCCTTAATATGTCAAGGTAGTTGGACTGAAACATTGATTACATGCAAAGGCACGTCTGCTTAAAATAAATCTGCACTTTTGTTTATTTTGAAGCCTATGAGTGCGCTTTTTATGTTGAAGTACTTTTTAATTTTAAGTTATCTGTTCTAACTCTGTATCTGCACACTATGCTGGCGCGACGCATTATGGGGCTGGTAAATATTTTTTTTCCAGGGCTGCTTTTAATTCCCAGTCCGGCCCTGATAGACACCCAATGCTCTCCTATGGGATGATGATCTCAGCCATGAAGATGGGACCAGCCTCCACGTGACTGGAGCAGTGTAGGAGAAAAGGTACGTTTAAAACCTTTTTAAAGAGATATGAGGATGGCTGGTGTGCTAAATAGTTTGTTTAACACTAGTGATGTCCTGAACGGTTTGCCACGGACTCATCATTAAGTAAACTTTGACCCTGTACCTCACAGTCAGCAGACATTACAGCCAATCAGCAGCAGACCCTTCCTCCCAGACCCTCCCACCTCCTGGACGGCATCCATTTTGAAGCTGCATTCTTAGTGAGCTGTCCAGGAGGTGGGAGGGTCTGGGAGGGAGGGTCTGCTGCTGATTGGCTGGAATGTGTCTGCTGACTGTGAGGTACAGGGTCAAAGTTTACTCAATGATGAGTCCGTGGCGAACCGTTCGGGACATCACTATTTAACACTACTGTGTAAGGAATGTATGAATTCCTGACACTAGTGTTCCTTTAAATATTCAAAAATAAATGTTAGAGGTGAAACAGTTGTGTGAGATTTAATAAAAATGAATATTATATATACATGTAAAGCAGAAGATTCAAAACCTATTTCATAGAAGTTCAATTCAAACCAAGTTTTGGATAATATTGCCCATGAAGGCTTGTTTCAAACAGCTTCACTAATTGAGGCAACATTTAAAAAAATATAGTGTTGTGTACCAAAATTATAGAGAAGTTTTGCAAATAGCCAGTATTCGAGCCCCTCTCACTCCTAGAACTTTAGACAAATTTACACCGAACTCGGCTATTCAAAAATAAATGTTAGAGGTGAAACAGTTGTGTGAGATTTAATAAAAATGAATATTATATATACATGTAAAGCAGAAGATTCAAAACCTATTTCATAGAAGTTCAATTCAAACCAAGTTTTGGATAATATTGCCCATGAAGGCTTGTTTCACACAGCTTCACTAATTGAGGCAACATTAAAAAAAATATAGTGTTGTGTACCAAAATTATAGAGAAGTTTTGCAAATAGCCAGTATTCGAGCCCCTCTCACTCCTAGAACTTTAGACAAATTTACACCGAACTCGGCTTTCATACTTGCTGAGAAAATAAAGATAGGTTTGGATGAGATATTCCAGTCATACAACATAAATGCAAAGGGTAAACAGGTAAATATTCCATACCTTTAGTGCATCGTATTCGCATTACTGCTTCAAAGCCAACTTTTCTGGTGAGATAACGATTGAGGTCTTCCTTTAATTTATCTGCCTGAGCTGGATTGTGAGTTGCATGGAATGATGGATAATAATATACACACCCTGCACTGTACTTTGACATACACGCTGTGAAAATAAAGGTATATGAATTCAGATTCAGGAACACAAACACAAAATAATTTTATACTTGATAAACAATGCAACATAAAATTATTTACACACAAAACAACAATAATGCTAAGCAAAAAAATACTGATATAACATTAAATGTATAAAAATAAGATCGCACTAAAGCATAGAGATAGTGATACAGATAGCATGGTGTCTACATGTCCCTGCAGCCTTAGTACTGTACACACAGCCTCTTCAGAGAAAAGTCAGTATTTACATTGTCATCTAGTAACACCTTTAATGGCAGTCACCCAGATGGCCACTAGAGGTGATTCCTAGTGATGCAGTGTGTAGCACTGGCATTCAGTGTCTCCAGGTTCTGCATGGCGGCACTGAACGTTCCTCATAGAGATGCATAGGTTTAATGCAGCTCTATGGGCAGAGGCTGATTGGTGCCGTGCTGTGCATGTGCAACAGCCTCCTTGTGCTTTCCTATGAGAAAGCATTGGATTGGCTGATGATATAAAACTTAAATGACCACTATAGTGCCAGGAAAACATACTCGTTTTCCTGGCACTATAGTGCCCTGACGGTGCCCCCACCCTCAGGGTCCCCCTCCCGCCGGGCTCTAGGGGTTACCTCTTTCTCCAGCGGCGGGCAGGGAGCTCTCCTCCTCCTCTCCTCCCTCTTCTTCAGTCACCGGCTGAATGCGAATGCGCGGCAAGAGCCGCGCGCGCATTCAGACAGTCCATAGGGAGGCATTATCAATTATCAATGCTTTCCTATGGACGCTGGCATCGTCTCACTGTGAAAATCACAGTGAGAAGCGCGGAAGCCCTCTAGCGGCTGTCAATGAGACAGCCACTAGAGGCTGGATTAACCCATAGGTAAACATCTCTGAAACTGCTATGTTTACCAAAAAAAGGGTTAATCCTAGCTGGACCTGGCACCCAGACCACTTCATTAAGCTGAAGTGGTCTGGGTGCCTATAGTGGTCTTTTAATAATCTCAGCCATGGAGACGTGGCCAGCTGTAGAAAAGGTGACAAAAAATATGTTCCCAGCATTATAATATCAGGAATACATATTGCATTCCTGACACTATAGCGCAGGGCTCAACAAATCCTAAGCGCCGGGTTGCCATGGCGCCTAGTAATTTTGCATTGGCGCCTAGGATATGCAAGCTCCTTACCTCAGAGGCACGTGGGAGGGTGGCCAGCGGCAAACTGGGAGATTATGGAGGACAGCAGCATGGTGGGTGGTCGTGGAGGCGGGCAGCTAGCTGCACAAATAGTAGGAAGGCGGCAAGGGAGCTGTGATGTCACTGCTCTGCTTCCCCGCGTACCTCTTAATGAGGCCGGAGCCGGAATATGAGGTCATATTCCGGCTCCAGTCTCATTAAAGGACCACTATAGGCACCCAGACCACTTCAGCTTAATGAGGTGGTCTGGGTGCCTGGTCCAGCTAGGATTAACCCTTTTTTCTATAAACATAGCAATAAACGGGTGTCTGTCATGGAACATACGTGTATATTAACAAAGTCTGTCATTGTGTGTGTGTTTCTGTCTACCATGGTGTGCGTGTGTGTTTCTCTCTGTCATGGTGTGTGTCTGTCTTTCATGATAAGTAAGTTTAGGTCTGCCATGGTGTGCGTGTGTGATTCTGTTCACAAGGGAACGGTGTTTTTTCACTCACGCCGTGCTGGACTCCCCTCGACTGGCCCATCAAGCTTGATTATCTCAGCCCATACAATGTTTTCCCATAGGATTGGCTGCAAAATGCTGCACCAATCAGCATCTCCTCACAGAGATGCATTGAATGCAGAGCATGGAGACGCTAAATGACACAGGAAGCACCTCTAGTGACCGTCTGAGTAAACACTGCCTTTTCTCTACATTAAAGGGACACTATAGTCACCAGAACAACTACAGCTTATTGAATTTGTTTTGGTGAGTAGAATTATTACCTTCAGGCTTTTTGCTGTAAACACTGTCTTTTCAGAGAAAATGCAGTATTTACATTACAGCCTAGTGATAACTTCACTGGCCACTCAGAGATCCTTCCTGGGTCATGGCTGCCTAAAATGCATCCAAACATTGAGTATCTCCTCCCTCTGCATGCAGACACTGAACTTTCCTCATAGAGAGTCATTGATTCAATTAATCTCTATGAGGAGATGCTGATTGGCCAGGGCTGTGTTTGAATCCCTGATCTGCCTCTTTGTCAGTCTCAGCCAATCATATGGGGTAGCACTGTGATTGGATCAGGATACAGGATTTTTGAGGCAAACATCATGCAGATCTACAGCTTCTGGCTTGAATACAGTAAGATTTTGCTATATTTAGGGAGGTATGAGGGGCCAAGGGGGGCTAGATGGTGGTTTTAACACTATAGGGTCAGGAAAACATGTTTGTGTTCCTGACCCTATAGTGCTCCTTTAAAAATAATATTTTTGTTGTTGAATATAAAGCTTTGTGAGTTTAAAAAAAAAAATCTGGCACCTACCTTTTTTAGCTGGCTCCTAGATTCAAAGCAAATTTGTTAATTCCTGCTGTAGTGTTCCTTTAAGTATAATTTTTTTATATATATATATATATATATATATATATATATATACATATATACACACACACACACACATTACATCACCAAAGGTTTATACTGATGAAAGATAATAGGAAAAGTAAAAAAACAAAACTAAAATGTGCATTTTCTCTTTAACATTCATTTTTTTAATTGACTACATCTGTGATCACTGATGTAAAGAGCTCCTCAGATATATGCTTTGAATTGAAAAAGTCCTTGAGCGAATAAAGCACACTGAATAATTCAAACGATAGGAAATTACTTATCTATCTTGAAATATATAGTCTGATTTATTCTATTTAGTTCATGTTATAGGTCTAAATATGAGAAACAGACTAATTTCTACATACCTAGCGAGGCGAGATCAGAATATTGAGAACTTAAAAGAAACAAATCAACTGCAGTCTGCTGTCCAGAGCAATCTAGAGCCAGTTTCTTGTAAAAGTCTGTAGCAGGACCCAAATGCTGCACTCCCTGTAAAAACAAAATAAACGGGCTAATCAGAAAAACATTGTGCAAAACAGATATTGTGAACAGGAGCTGAATATAACAAATGTAAAATGCAGACAAGTACTATAGATAATTTGTAAACAATTAATATTTTTTACAATATAATATACCCAAAGTAACACTATTGCGTAGGGAATGCAAACATATATTTTTAACTCTATAGTGTTCCCCTAACTATGTAGGTATCCAACCCCACCTGGCAGAGGTTTAAAAGTTGTACTTGCCTTACATCCAGAGGTACATTGGTCTCCATGTTGGCACTCCATCTGTGATCCCCAGTCTCAATGATAGTCAATCAAACCACAGCTTGTAAGGAATCACTGGGAGGCAAGTGCGCAGGTGCAGCAAAATGCTGAACCAATCAAATGCTATCAATGACAGCCTTTGGAGCTATAACAGAGTTATTACAGCTGCGGAAGCCTGACAGCTATTAGAGGTGTGTTCCTGAAAAACTGATATAATTTCACTTGTAGGGTCCCTTTAATTTGTGGTGCACCCTTTTGTTGGCAGATTTTTTCATATTGTGAATAGCAGTGCCAATTTGGTGTTTAAACAATACAAAGCCACTATTTCAGATATTGGCCACCTTTGTAGATGATGTCAACTTGATGTGCGACAAACAATGTTCTTTAAGACATTTTGCTTCAATACAAAATAGGATCAATGCATGTCTGTACAAGTCACAGAGCTAGCAACTACATAACTACCTACAGTATTTCAGATTACAAAAAAACAAATAGACTACTGCATATATTGAAAGGTATTCTCAAAACTGGGATTTAACCTAATTTATTTTCTAAATAAATAAAATAAAATAAAATAAAAAAACATGAGGGTGTGGCTAGCTGAGCAGACGTGCAAGTAAGGTGCTCAGGCTTCTATTTACTAAAAAAAGACCTTTATGCCACAAAATTAAAAGAATACAGACCAGCTACAGAAACTTTGGCTTCATCCGAAAGAGAGATGGAGTGAAAACACAACAAATTTGACAATTCAGAAAGCACCAATGTCCGTGATATCGTTTGAGAGGCCACTGCCACAGGCCCGACTCATAATGGTGCCCAGGGGACAGCATGGCTCAAGAGATTGATTATTTCCAGGATGACGAGAGACTTCCAACATCACAAGCTACTGGTACTGTGTACCTGAGGACTGACACAGACATGTCTCCATCTCCTAAAGCGGACATTAAAAAACTCCTCTTGGACCTGTGAGAGATTTTAAAAGCAGGCCTCACAGGAGTGAAGAAAGAGATCGGTGGGTTACGGCATGATTGGGGTCGTCAAGTCCAGAGAAGGAGAGCGTGAGCAGTGGAATCCCTCACCCAGTGGACCACCTCCATTCCTGTACAGAGGCATCACTGGAGACGCGAAATCAGCAGGAAAAAATTTTATGAATTAGCGGAGCGCCAGAAATAGTTGAACAACAGGCTTTGCTAGACTTTGTCTATAAAGTGACACAGGCAATGGAGGTGAAAGAAGAAGGGGAATTTTACCACATGACAGGAGGCTTCATATTTTGCATTAACTCTCTTTACTAACTCCACACAGCAGTAAAGAAAAGTGAAACATTAACCAATGAAAAAACAGTATGAGGTATAGTATTCACAGTGATGAGGCTCCTCCCCCTCTTTCTTTACTGCTCCATCAGCAGACAGGTCAGAGTTTTTGGCTCTTCCCTTTTACTTACTGTATTTATTACTATATGTTTATTTTATGTTCTCTATGATATATCCTTACATGTAGTTACTGTGTAGTACTGCTTCAGGTGGGCTTTTTCTTTTATTGTCCTTTTATATGTACTGTGCTAGTGGTTTGTACTTTCTGTTGTATTATTAGGGCAGACTTTTTATGGAAGCACTTTCCTCCTTTTTTATCCCTTTATCTCTGCCCCCCTTGAACTTTACTCTTCTGGGGATTTTTCCTCTCCCCCCTTCAGGATCTTCTCCTGTCTCTCCCCCCCCCCCTCCCTTTTCCCACTCGGTCCGCCAGCTTTCTCCGCCGTCGGACCGACCGCAAACGCCCACCTCTTTCTCTGAGGGTAACGCTCACCCTCCTCCACCCTACTCCTTCCTCGCGGCTTCACAGCCGCACTCACTCTGGTCGCGCGGCGGGAAACTGTTTCCCGTTCGCTCCGGCGGCCATCTTGGATCTCGCGTCTCGCGAGATCCACGGCCGCCATCTTGGGAGCGTCGCGACCGCTCATTCCGGCGCCCGTTCACCTCACCACCGGACGCAATCAGGGGTCCCCAGGTCAGTCATCCATTTAGAAGATTATTAATCCTGTGCTTTGGGGTGAGGCCCCATACTTATTGATATTACTGGCTCCACCAGCGTTTTGTGTGCCAGGGTGAGGCCCTTATATTTGATTACTGCTGCTGCCAGGTGGATTTCGTGCCACCTATATATATGAATGCATATATAACTGGGTGAGGCCCAGAATAAAACCCAATATTCCCTGCTGGGGAAACTGGTGCTTTTGTTACCAGCTTTATCATATTCACCCTGCTGGGGTGCCCTTTTTTCCCTTTTATTATATATCTACATATATATATATAATTTACCCTGCTGGGGTTACCTGGGTACTGCAGGTACCTTTTTTCAGACTGACCCCTAGCCCAGATTTATCTATTCCAGCGGCCCTACTCCTATCATTATGGATACACCCCAAAACCCTGCGGACTTCCAAACCACGATTGCGGAAGCCATCTCCGCCTCTATGGAGAAAGCGTTATCCAGGGTTATGACGGCAACAGCCGATCAGACTAAAAAAGTCACAAAAGCCCAAGCCCATGACTACGATTCTGAGGCTTCAGAATCTCATGCTCAGGCCGACTCACGGCCCAGCAAACGCCACTGGAAGGGCGAAAAAGGGAATGACAACCCGGGCAAAGGCAAGACACCTTGCAAACGCCACAGGCCGACCCCACCCACTCCAGCCCACTACTCCTCGGACGAGGGGGACGAACACACACACTCCATGGCCGTGTTGGACGAGTGGCAGGCCGCAGATTCCGATTCACAAGAAAATGACTGGGGTTCGGACACGGGATCCCATACTGGTTTCCTGCAAGGCACCTTCTTGGACGACATCCAACTGCCGGACGCCACACCGGTCCAAGAAGAAGGGGAAGCCATTCTGGACCCCACGGGTCAACGTCTATTCGACCCCCGAAATATACGACACCCGCGTTCGGGGGACTGGACCCCTCCCGACCATCTCTCCAAATTTATGCATCGTTGGCTCCGCAAACCCCTGGACAAAACGGTGCGCAACCGCCTACGTTCTGAATGCCCTCGCCCTTCGCTCCCCGACCACGTGGCTCAGACTCCCGAATTCGACCAGGTCATGAACACATTCATGTCGCGGGGTGGTCGTGACCCCAGGAGAGGAGTGGAAAAAGGATTCCACGGAGTTCAGGACAAACTCCTAGACTCCATTGGCCCACTGTCCCGCATCATGTTTTTGGCGGACGATGCTTTCACAAGGGCTGACGAATTTGATACCAGCATGGTAAAAGAGTGGGCACATGATATAAGAGAATGGGCACAGAGGTGCTTCTGTTTTGTGGGCAACACCAATGTAGCCCTCTCCTCTGAGAGGCGTAAGGCAGCGCTACTCCGTATTGACGGAAAACTGGTGGAATTGGGCACCAAGGAGTTGGGACCGCTTGCACAGGGCAAATTGTTTGGGGAAGCATTCCTCAAAGAACTTAACAAGCATGTAAACATTTTCACCTCACTAAATAAGGCTCAAACTTCCATGAAGCGAGTCTTCAGGGGCTACCCCAGTAGGGGTGTTTTTGGACGGGCTGGCCGCTACAGGGGCCGAGCAGCCAGCCGGTTTTGGCCCTCCGGCCCCCGCTCACACAGACCCCAACCCTTCTACCCGGAAGTGGGCGTCAGGCAGCCTTTCTCCTACACCCGAGGAGCCGACAGAGGCAGAGGACCTCGTGGCCGTGGCAGAGCACGCTTTCCCACAGGTAAGCAACATAATGTCTCAATGTCCTCTTACCCCGTGTACTGCAGGTCGTATCGCTCTGTCTTTTCAGAACTGGACAGCCATCTCCACGGACGCATGGATCCTTCAGACGGTTCGGGGCTACATCATAGATTTCGTGGAAACCCCATGCCAGACCACTCCTCCGCACCCCATTCAGTGCTCCAACGAGGATCGCCACCTAATCGATGGCGAACTATGGGAACTCAGGGCGAAAGGAGCAATAGAACCCGCTCACGACAAAAACGGCTTCTTCAGCAACATTTTTCTAGTGAAGAAGAAATCCGGAGACTTCCGGCCGGTTATAAACCTAAGGAGGCTCAACTTTTTCGTGAGGTACAGACATTTCAAGATGGAAGGCATCCATCTTCTAAGAGATCTGCTCCAAGACAGGGACTGGTTCACAAGACTGGACCTCAAGGACGCCTACCTATCGGTACCCGTCCATACGTCTTGCCGACAATTCCTCAGATTCCGATGGCAAGGTCGCCCCTGGCAGTTCACATGCCTCCCCTTCGGCCTCAGCTCAGCACCATGGTGCTTCACCAAGCTCCTCAAGCCGGTAGTATCACAACTACGAACTCAAGGAATTCGTTGCATTATCTACCTGGACGACCTGCTACTTTTTTCCTCAGACAGGTACAGTCTAACACAACACACACGATATACCATTCAACTCCTGACGTCCCTAGGCTTCGTGGTGAACTACCAAAAATCGGAGCTGCTCCCAGCCCAGACGATACACTTCCTGGGCTTCGAGATAGACTCCAAGACCAGCACCTTACGGCTCCCGATCTCAAAGATCACAGCCATCAAAAAGGAACTACGCAGAGTCATCCGCTGCAACACCATTCCACTCCGCAGCCTGGCTCGAATCGTGGGACTACTGTCCGCATCTATACAGGCAATCTTCCCGGGCCCACTACACTACAGGGCGATGCAACGCCTGAAGGCCTCCTTCCTCCGTCAGAACCCTTCCTACGACCAAAACATTCCGGTAACGGAAGAGATCAAGGAAGAACTCGGATGGTGGTTGGACAGCATGGAAGCTTGGAGCGGCCGAGCCATCTTCGGGAATACACCATTCTGGAATCAGACGCCAGCCTGTGGGGCTGGGGCGCCACAAGCGAGGGCAGATCGACAGGAGGCACTTGGACTTCCCAAGAAACCAACCTTCACATAAACTGCCTAGAACTCCTAGCGGGGTCGTTTGCGATCCGCAGCTTAGCGAGAGACCGGACAGACTGCTGCATCCTCCTCCGGATGGACAACATCTCAGCGTTCCGCTACATCAATCGTCTGGGAGGAGCCCGATCCAGACTCCTCTCAGAGATCACGAAGGACATTTTCGACTTTTGTCTACCCCGGAAAATCTCCCTCATGGCAGAATACCTCCCGGGAGAAACGAACCTGACAGCGGACTGGTTTTCACGCCACTGGCGGGACAGCAGCGACTGGAGACTGGACCCAGCGATCTTCCAGCGCCTTTCGGTCAGGAGGGGTCCCCTCCACCTAGACCTCTTCGCGTCACGCAACAACAGGCAGACAGACGAGTACTTCAGCTGGCTCCCAGACCCAGAGAGCAAAGCAGTAGATGCGTTTCTCCAACCTTGGCCACCCTCGGGGGCGTACGCCTTTCCCCCATTCGCCATGGTAGCCAGGACGATGCAATACCTGAAGACCCAGCGCGGATCCCTGCTCCTCATCTCACCCCTATGGCAGGGTCAACCATGGTTTCCGGACCTTCTAGCATCATCCTACAGAGATCCCCTCCTCATACCGTCCTATCCGACGCTCCTTACGGACCCGAGAGGGAATCAACACCCGCTCATCCTGGAAGACCGTCTCACGCTGGTGGCTTGGACGCTTTCAGGGGAGCCTGGCAAACCGAAGAGTTATCGCAAACATCTCGAGATCTCCTATGGGACTCATGGGCACCAGGAACCAGACGATGTTACTTATCGGCATGGAGCTCCTGGGCTACTTGGTGCAGTGAGCGGAATTTTGATCCCTTTACGGCACCTATAACAGCCATCATGAATTTTCTCTCGCATCTCTTCTCCAAGGGCCGATCTTACCGATCCCTCAACGTAGTGCGCTCCGCAATTTCGGCGGCCCACGTTCCGGCCCAGGGGATCCCCGTCGGGAAAGACCCGTTGGTATGCCGCCTCCTCAGGGGCATCAGACTTCAGAGGCCTCCGAGACCTAAATATTCCCGACTATGGGACGTCGAAAACGTCCTACAGTTCCTGAGGGACTGGCCAGACAACGACAGACTTTCACTCCGACAACTATCAGCCAAACTGACGCTCCTACTTTGTTTGGTCTCGTTCCGCAGAGTTTCAGACGTACGAGCATTCGACATCGATGCCTTTTCGGTCTCCCCGGAGGGAGTTACCTTCCAAGTTTCACGCCGTACGAAATCCGACTCCACATCGGTCTTCTACCCCTTTTTTCCTACAGAACCGCTTCTCTGCGTGGTATCTACCCTACATCGATACGTAGAGGTCACAACCCGCTTGCGCGTCTCCCCTACGGGCCAACTCTTGGTGTCCTACGTTAGGCCACACGTTCCCGTCTCTACCACCACCCTGGCCAGATGGGTAAGATGGATTCTGTCCCTGGCAGGCGTAGAGGAAACCTTCGGAGCCCACTCAGTCCGCGGGGCGGCAGCTTCTTCGGCTTTCACCGCAGGCGCATCCCTGGCAGACATCCTACGAGCTGCAGATTGGTCACGAGAATCGACCTTTCGGACCTTCTACTTCCGACCGAATGCGGGGGCAGCCACGTCTCTCCTGGTTCAGCGTTAAAAATGCAAAATATGAAGCCTCCTGTCATGTGGTAAAATTGAAGATTATGCTAGCGCTAGTGTACTTATAATCTTAATTTTAGTAATGACAGGAGGCGAGTATTTTCCCACCCTCCACACCCTTGGGGGATAAGGATCCAAGTAAGTATACTTACTCTGTGTATTCCTTACTTCTTCTATCTTCCTATTCATCTTGTATGACTCAGGCTTGTACCTTGTTTAGCTAGATCATTGTTATGGTTTACTGTCATATTTGTACTAGTTTTCTCATCTAGTTTTGCATCAGTTCAGTGGAAATTGTGTTGGGTGTATTACATTACTGCAAACAGTTGCCAGATCGGTACCTAACCTTCTCCACGTTCTTTTTCAGCATAACCTTGGGACATTACATCTCATGCTCAGGATGGACACGTTTGGACCGTCCTTCAGCCACTAGGACTTCGTATGTGGAAAGTCACCCGTTGGTGCATGTTTCAAGACTTTATGTTTCAAGACTTTATCCGTTTTCTATATTTGTCTTTGATGTCGCTTTCGAAAGAGGGGGAGGAGCCTCATCACTGTGAATACTATACCTCATACTGTTTTTTCATTGGTTAATGTTTCACTTTTCTTTACTGCTGTGTGGAGTTAGTAAAGAGAGTTAATGCAAAATACTCGCCTCCTGTCATTACTAAAATTAAGATTATAAGTACACTAGCGCTAGCATAATCTTCAATTGTCGCCCATCGTGTCAGCATACAGGATCAGGAAGGTGCCAACTGCTGCTGTGGATGCAACCAGACACATAGCGGTCACCCTGGACATTTTCTGTTACATTGGCTATTATGGCCCGCTCAGGAAAGAATCCTAGGTTTGGCGTGGGCAACTGCAGGATTTCAGTCTCTGGAATCTGGCGGTACCCCACGGGGATGCAGTTCATGTTCTGTCAGGCCCTCGAAAATCCAAAAGAATGCTTGAAAGGCCTCCAGTTGCCTCCTGCGCCTCTCCCGGTACAGCAGAGAGTTGTAGTGCCAGGAGTAAAAGCGTTGCTCAAGTCCCGGACTGTGGAAGATGCACTGCTGCTGCAGGGTCCACTGTATGACTTTCTGTATAGTGAGCTACTCTGTTGGGTGTAGAAGGGCTACCAGGGATTGGCAAGTTCCCATACTAGTCCTTTTGCGCATTTTCTCTGCAGTAACAGATCATAAGATCGATAACATTTAAAAAAAAATAAAAAATTATATATAAAAAATTTTGTAGTGCAAAAAAAGTAAAATAAAGGCAGATAGAGACTTATTTTAAGAATATAGGTTAACAAAAAGGCTTGTCAAGCTGTGTCACGTAGAGTAACAGCACTTTTTTTTTTTATGCAGTTTTCGAACTAGGACTGGGTAAAGGAAATTTGCACAAGCATATTATACATAAGCAATTAATTGGCATTGTTAATGAATTTAAAAAGAAAATAAAGAGTAAACCATAACACCAGGAGTCCACCATCCTGTAGATAATCTGGCTTGCAGCCGCTGCTGGTCTCTGTGTGCGACAAGCATTCTCAACCGATTCCGGATTGCGAGCTAACTGCTGGGCTCCCAGGAGAGAATCCTTGTGTTCCGAGTGAGTTTCACTGCCGTGTAGCATAAGCTACAGCCTTGCCCAAAGCTTGCGTGGGGTCTCCTGATCACCACCGCCATTTTGGAGGGCACAGTGGGAGGCCTTTCCCAGGCTCTGGGTCTGGTGCCAACTCCCAACACTACCAGGCACAGCCCCAAGCAATCTTGTGCTATGGGTAGCTGCCAGAGCGGATCCCGCTGTCATCTCCTGGTAAGGGCTAGATGTTTGCACACTGGTCGAGTATGTAGGGATATTTTGTTTGGTATTGCGGGGCCACTCTGTGGTATAGGCGTAGGAGCCCTCGTCTGTTCACCGTACCCATGCAAGAGAGACCGCGATCTTTGCTTTCTCTTTGCTATGCGGGCTAGAAATTTTAGGAAGATCAGGTCGAGTGCAGACAGTGAGGCAGTGATGTTTGAGGCAGTCATATTTCTAACGCTGGTCTCTGCCATCTTGGGAGCCTCGTTGGCCCGACGGGATGGTGAGTGATATATGGGCTCCCGGAACCGTGGTAACCCCCACAGGTCCAAAAGGGGGGGGTGGGGGTGGGGGAAGGGAGTAGGCATGCTAAATTTGCAAAAAACAGCTAGAGAGTCAAGAGAGCAACCACCTCTCCCTAGCCCACCTGACTATTAACTCGTTTTATAGGTACCAAACACTGGAGCTAGCTCCACACACATCTGGTCTGCTTGGAAGTCAGGCCCCGCCCCCCTCGATAACACTCTTTAATTAAGACTTTGAATTAGAAATGCACTCATATAGTTTTATTTTTTTTTGTTTGCATTTTAGAAGTGCCTTACTTAAATGCCCTTACAGGTTTACTGTGTGTACCTTATATTCGTATTTTCTGATTTACAACAAAATCTTGTGGTACCAACCACAACAAAATAAAGATTGTAAAAAAGAAAGAAATAATATTGCAGTTACCCATATTCAGCCCTTCTCAGATCAGAAAATATCAGACACCTGTTAGCCAATTCTAAACCATCTATTTGTTAGTGCTGATTAGATTTCTCATAATCCAGTTCATGGGGTATGTTGCCTAGCACCTGGTTAAGAAATGCATATTAATGCACAGCCCAAGTGGACAGTTACAGCTAAAATCAATTTCTCTTAACTGGAGCTAATGATGTGGCCATGGCATCAGCCCCTCTAAGGAAAATTCCCCTTTGTAACAGGGTGGGCTTATAGCTGGACAATATTTTCACTATGAGGAAAGGATTGAAAATGACACCGTACATGCAAAGTAGTAAATATGAATTGAGTATCCTGTTAAAGCACCAACTGTGTGCTGTTATAGCTGCACTTTCCTCTTTTGTCATTTCTTTGCCAACAGTTCAACAGAAACATCCTTTGGGGGGGCGGGGCCGAACCGCTGAGCTGGATGGTCGCATGCATACTCAGCTCCTGCAAGTTTCCAAACCTAAAGCCTTAAAACCAAGATTTTTTCGCTTCAAACGCGACCTCCAGCAACAATCCTCAATGCACAGGAGTATCCGAAACCAGGGTGAGGCTGGCTCCTCGAGCTACAGTCCCCTGGAGGAGAGGTCATCGGTATCCCAACTGGGGCCTACTCCGGCAGTGAGTGGGGTGGACGGCCGCTGCTCCACTATCCTGCCAACCGGAACCCTACCAGAGGCCCGAACCCAAGCGGACCGGACCCTGTTCCCCCCCCTCTGGACCGGTGGGGGTGATCCCGGTCCACACCCTGGGGCTCAGACCGCGGAGACAAAACCCGAGCCTATCGACATTACCAACCTGCGATGTGGCCCAAGCGCATCAATCAAAATGGCGGATGCCAGGAGAACCAAAGCCAGAGGGAAAGAAAGCCCTCACTTCGAAGCTGCAGCAAGCAAGGTGGCATTCAGGCACAAGATAGCCCGATGCCCGCCACCACAAACAACAAGCACTCACTGCGACATCAAGACAAGATGCCTACCCCTCCAGACGCAACGCAAGACCGCGGCTCCAAAACCGTGGCAGGCCCGAAGCGGAAGGAAGGGTCGGAGGCACAGCAGGCCAGAGTGCACATTACAACACAGGCTACAGACACCCAAAAAACGATTTACCCTCAAGATGCAGTGGGGAGCAGATCCCGCAAGCGAGATACAGCACTGTCCACATGGGATCCCTATTGCCGACAAAGCACACAGCGACATCCTCTCCAAAATAGAGGGACATTTCTCCGACTTCTGGCAGAAATTAACACGCCTTTTGCTCCAGCCCTCTCTACCACACAAAGAAGCCTACTTACCCAAAAGCTCTCCACCTAAGCACCTAAGAAGATCAGTGCCGAGCCTCAAAATGGCGCCGAAGACATCACCCAAGCGCACTCAAGCAGGACCACAACCACGACCTAAAAAGCTGAACAGTGCGACACACAAGTCACGAACCCCAACCTACCGGAGCATAGGCGATGTCAGGCAGTGGGCCCCTGCACTCAGAGACTGTGTCGTGTCCCCTGCTGGCATAGGCTGAGTCTGTCCCTGAGACTGATCCGCGAGGGGTAAATTCCAAGTAGCACGCCACAGCAGACCAGCTACGAGACTGTAATGTTATGTGCAAATATTCAATAGCATGTGTGGTTAATACTCATGATACGTATTTAATAGTCTTTATGCCCACTGGCCCCCATGGCGTTATTTTACTTATCATTTCGTTTGCATTGTTATTAAGCGTTATCTTAATTATCATTTTGTGAAACGTTAATCCAGAGGCAGACTCTAAGGCATCCCCACTAGCGCAAAATCACAGCAACTGCTTAACTATATATCCTCAGAGCAGTTAGCTCGACCCCAGGAGTCTACAAAATACTCCTATCTCCTCAGAATGCCACTAGACAACTAATATTTTAAGTTTAACAAATGACATATCACCGAACAGCAACTAAATAAGCAACCACAGTAGTGACTTAGCTAGCATGTACCTTAACGTATGGTTCATACCTAAGCAGTCATACTCCTGTTATACCCATCTATCTGGTCTATGAATGTTTGTCGTGGCATTATATATAATAGACAATACATTGAGAATAAGCTTACTAAACTGTATATTTAACATAAAATTGTGCACGCAAGAACATACCCATTACTGTTATAAATTTATGAAAAGCATGAGGAATGCCGTTGGGGTACCCCATGCACGCTGTTATATCATATGCACTATAAAAATAAAGAATAAAAAAAAAAAAGAAACATCCTTTGATCATCACATCTGCTAACACTTTCTTTGGGTTGTTGCTAGTAGCATAGAGCATTTAGAGAAGTAAGCTTATCACTAGAGCTTAAAATAATACACACGATGTCTAAATGAGTTGTCAACATTTTAAAATGATTTAGCAGTTTTTGTTTGTGTAAATAATGAACCTTCAGTTTTATGGTTTAGAGAACATTATGCAGCGTGTCAAAACACTTGCCGATTTCAGTTTTTACACATTGAACTTTTCTAGATTGGTTTGCTGGGCCTATGTTGACTTTGAGACTGTATGGTAGCCCAGGAATGAAAAAAATAACCCTATTATGACTATCATTTACAAAACCCATTCAAAATGGGTTATGTCCAATCTTTTTTTTTTAGTAGCCACTTAGTCACAAACCCTGGCCAAAGTTAAGTGTTAATATTTGTTTTTGTTTTGTATTTTTCACACAAATTTATATGCATTTTTCACTGATTATATCATCCTTATTAGACATTTTACTTCTCTTAAACACTCATAAGTGTGTTCTGTAAAGTCTTATGAGTACAACAGTACCCTACATGGTTATATGTTTTTGTTTTTCAAGTTACAGGGTCAATGTAGGAATTGGAAATGAAATTCCCTGGTATTTCTGCCTGAATTGTCAAGCAGGTTCCCAAATAATTAACTAATAAAATATTTATATATACAAATAATATATAAACTACATTTAGAATCAGATATATAACACAAAGCAATAGCGTTATGGTGGGAAAAAGTGACTGAAAACCCCTATTACCTGATGTCAGTGAATAGTAAATACATTGGTAAAAACAGATCTGCAAACACCAGTCAAGCCATAAGACTTTTCTTTCCGGGGGTCGTGGCTTGGGCGCTGGACAACATGGCCGCTTAAGGGGCGAGCTCCACTCCACCTGATCCCGATAACGTGCCTCAGTATCAGCGAGACCACCTTCATGGGCCGCACTCGACACCCCGAGGCCCCCCAAACCTTGAGGGGTACCCAGCAGGGCCCGTTGGACTTACAGCCGCAGCCAAGCGGGAGCAGTGAGGGGGGGGGGAAGTCCCAAAATGGGGCCGGCATTCCTGGCGGCCTCCGACAACGCAGCGCTGGACCGGATAGAGGAGGAATTGAGGAGCCTCACCGCATCTATGGTCACTAAAGCTGACCTCCACACCCTTACAGCCACCATTCAGGAGACTCTGAGAGAAGAGATGGCGGGAATAAGGTCAGAGGTCACAGCATAAGCAGGCCGCATCCAGGCACTTGGGCAGGCTGCTGAGGCTCACACCAACAAGCTCACAGCCACAGACTTGGCAGTAGCTCGCCAGGGGGAAGTTCTCCTGGCTATGCGCAGGCATATGGAAGATCTGGACAACAGGGGGCGCCGCTGCAACATTCGGATCTGCTGCGTTCCCGAAACTGAGGGGGACGAAAATGCAGAGGAAACCCTCACAGAGCTGTTCCAATCACTGCTGCCAGTGACTCCCCCCCAGCGCTTCGAATTTGAGAGAGCCCACAGTGCGTTAAGGCCTAGATCGCTAGAGGACGGTCCCAGGGACCTGGTGTGTTGCCTGCACTCGTTCCCGGTGAAGGACTCCATCATGAGAAAGGCCCGTGAGCGACCTACTTGGCCCTTTCGAGGGGTGCAGGTTTCCCTTTACCATGACCTCTCCCCCATCACCTTGGAGGCGCGCCAAGCACTCAGACCAGTCACAGCGGCATTACGGGAACGCCATGTCCCTTACCAGAACCGATGGGTCCCGCTGAGATGGCCAGAGGAGGTCCCCCGTTTCATGGAGGAACTGGAGCTGCCACCGGTAACAGTCGTCAACTGGATTCTGGGGCCAGTGGGACCCCCGAGACCCCAAAGGATACCCAGACGCGACACACGATCCCAGCCAGGACGCCCTCCTCAGAGGCATCGTCATCCGGCGGCCCCGGAGGAGTAAGTGAGTAGCTTCAGAAATGGGGGAGAGCGCTACCACACCACCCACGCATCCAGGGACACCACATGGCTCCGGTACCCACCTCTCACTTGGGCCTCCCGGGACTGCTTGGACATTGGCGCGCCGGTTGGGAGGTTTATCTGCCTCGGTTCACTGGGGCCCATGACCGCATGGGATGGGCTCACTAGTAGATTTTGGATGGGGGGAATTGGGTTCTGCAGCTGGACACGGGTCCTCTCACTGACTGTCTCCCCAAAGTTGGACCCAGTTTCCAGGCCCTAAAGAAGGGCGGATTCCACTTGGACACTTGCACACAGACATCGGGTTCTGGGGTGGGGGACGGGGTGGAATTGGCCCAATCTGCCAGTGGGTCGGGAGCGCTACAGCACACAGTGCGGACTGGGTCACGCTTTCCCCCTATTGCTCTGGGGGATGGTGCACAGGGGCTGTTTTCTTCTTACACATGATGGGACTCCTAGCCACTGGTTGTGGGGGGGAGGGGAAGGGGGTGGCGGCCTCTGTTGGGCCTCCCTCACCATGGGGGGGCTCTGTGGGGCTGCGGGGGCCCGCCCTCTCGCTTTACGTTGAGCTCACACGGGGGGGACCGGGATTCGGAAGGCTGACCGAGATAATACAGCGCAGGGGGGAGTGGAGGGGGGCCCATGCCTCAGCGGGAGATTCCCACATGCTTAGGATGTTAATGTGGGGAGGGGTTGACCGGGGGGGGGCATGGACGGCTGGAGCTCCTGGGTTGTGCCTTGGATGTGGGGGGCGGGGGCATAGGGGAATGTTGAGTTCCATGTTGTTAATTAGTTTGTACCGGCCGCATCATTGCACACCGGTTGGTTAGATTGACAAAAGTTGTGTCTCTGGTTACGCAGTTCAAAGGGATGGGTGGGGCGGGACGTTCCAACCCCTCCTTTCTCCCTACACCTTTTCTTTCGCTGCCTGGCCGTTGGACGGGGCTGGGGCCGCGTTTCCTAACCCACACTCGGGCTAAACCCTTGCGACTGGACGGCGGGCACAGGCGCATCCCGGACAGGTTTCCGGGGCGACACACCACCGCACCTAGTTACTGCTCGAGTATCCTCCAGATAGGAGGGATTAGTTAAGGGATCCACGTAATCCCAAGAAGGATCTCTACACCTCACCAATATACACCTCCGTACATCACTTCTCACATTCTAAACAAGGACCTACACACCCTACAAACGCACACCTCCACTCATCGCTACCAACAACACCCCCACTGCGTACTTACCTATTCTCTCTCGACCCCGTCTCCCCTCCTTTTTTCCTACTTCCTTCCTTCTCCCCTCTCTCGCTCTTTCTCTCTCCTTCGTCCGCGCCGGAGGCCCGGGGTCGCAGCTCCCCGTGCCTGAACTTACGGCATAGGGGCACAGTTACCTGTCTCCACCTATAACAGATGGCGTACCGTAGGGCACCAATATCGATCCTCACCCTCAATTGCAGGGGTCTGAATGCTCCGGAGCGCAGAACTCATCTCTTAAAAGAACTGAAGAAAAAGCACATCTTGGTGGCGATGCTCCAGGAAACACATTTTAGGGAGGGGGTGGCCCCTTCCCTGCACAACAAATCATACCCGAACAACCATTTCTGCAACCACCCTTCAGCTCGCAAATCTGGTGTGGCCATATTGCTCGCAGCAGATCTTGCCTTTACAGAACTAGACAAGCACCAGGACGCGCAAGGGCGTTACCTTTTCCTGAAAGGTATTATAGCAGATAAAATATTTACATTTGCCACAATCTATGTCCCCAATAGACACCAAGCCACACTCTTGAAGGGAGCATTGACCAAACTGCGAGATTTCGCGGAGGGTACTCTGTTGGTGGGAGGGGACTTTAACACCCCCCTGGACCCTACGTTGGACTCATCCTCAGGTCATAGCTGTATCCCCCAACGCAATATTCGATCCATTCGGAATTCCTTGAATAGCCTGGGTCTGGTCGAAGGCTTGAGGGCCCTGAATCCAACGGGTAAAGACTTCACACACTACTCTGCGCTTCACGATAGATATGCACGTATTGACTATCTCTTCGTTAAACAAGAGGGACTCTCCCGATTGCTCAAAGCGACCATCGAACCGGCAACAGCCCGGTTCGGATAGCCATAGAGTCACCTCTGTTTCGCCCTTCCACATGGACATGGCGAATGAATGAAGCTTTACTTCTGGACCCGACTGTTAGGGATCAAATTGAACGGCCCTGGACCTTTACTTCAGCGAAAATGAGAAGGAGGGAACGTCCCCCATAACACACTGGGAAGCTCACAAGAGCGTAATCCGTGGTACGCTCATACAGATAGCATCTCAAAAAAAGAAGGCGGCCATTCGAGAAATGGCAAAACTCTACGAGACCATCTCAACTTTAGAGTCACAACATAAACGGTACCACCTTAACGCAACCTATGGTGAGCTCACGGAGGCTAGACAAGCATTGAGAGACCTTATCGTGAAGAGGCACCTCCGCGCCCTACAGAGCACGAGAGGCTTCTTCTACGCTCACGCTAACAAGGGGGGTAAGTATCTATCCCGACTGCTGAAGGGCACCAGCCCACATACACAAATCCGCAGCTTACGCCTTACATCGGGCGCGGTCTCCCCCTTCCCTCAGGACATAGCGGATGAGTTTAGGCATTTTTACCAATCCCTGTACAACCTCCAGCCGCACGGGGGGCAGGACCAATCGCAGCACAACCAGGCCCTGCGGACTGAATACCTATACGCCACTGTCACGGAAAGGATTGACCCTGACTCGGCGGTGGCCCTGGATGCACCTATTTGCATGGAGGAGCTGGTCATCGCCCTGAAGAGATCTAAAACCGGCAAGGCCCCAGGTCCGGACGGCTTCTCTACCGGCTACAATAAAAAGTTCGCCGAGAGACTCCTGCCGCGGCTCACGAACGCCCTTAACGCAGTGGCGGAGGGGGGGGGGAAATTCGGACGGTAATCCCTGTCCGCAACAATAACCGTTTTACTAAAACCTGGGAAGGACCCACAATGCTGTGGTAGCTATCGTCCGATTTCTCTTACAAACATTGACACCAAACTGCTGGCGAAGGTGCTTGCTACAAGGATCCAACCCAATCTTCCGCATCTGATTCATGCGGACCAAACGGGCTTTATCCCCGGGCGCGAAGCGCGGGATAGTACCCTAAGACTCTTCTCCATCCAACATCTAGCGAGAAGGGGGGGGGATGCCTTCTGCTGCTGTCGACAGACGCAGAGAAGGCGTTCGACCGGGTCAATTGGCAGTATATGCAGGTCACACTAGAGGCGATGGGCCTGGGGCAGACCCTTCGGACGGGGATAGCGGCTTTATATAGCACACCACGAGCTTCCGTGAGGGTCAACAGAGCCCAGACAACCGATTTTGCGATACATAACGGTACTCGGCAGGGATGCCCCCTCTCCCCACTGTTATTTGCCCTGTCCTTGGAGCCACTTCTACATGCGATCCGCTTTAACCTGAACATACAGGGGTACGACGGAGGGGGATCGACTCAGAAAATGGCAGCGTACGCGGACGATTTACTTTTCTTTGTCAAACACCCGCGAACCACTCTGCCGAACTTGTTGGCGGAATTTGAACGCTATGGTGCAATATCAGGATTTAAACTTAACCTCACAAAATGTGAGGCACTGAACCTTACACTATCCACAGCGGAATTCAGGGCGCTGGAATCTGAATTCACATTCAGATGGTGCCACGGCAAAATGAAGTACCTGGGCATCTGGGTAACCACGGACCCCGGGAGACTTTATGAGAACAACTTCCAACCCCTCCTGCATACAATAAAAATGGACTTGGCCAGGTGGGTCCTCCAGCACATAACATGGCATGGGCGCATAGTAGTGCTCAAAATGAACGTGCTTCCCAGGGTGCTATATCTCCTACAGACATTACCCATCACACTACCGGCGTCCTCCTCCTCCCTGAAAACGGCGGTGCTCCGCTTTACGTGGCGAGGCGAGCGCTCCAGATTGCGGCATGACATTCTCTGTCTGCCCAGGTCTAGTGGGGGACTAGCTCTGACGGACTTTAGAAAATATTACCAGGCCACGGTCCTCCAGCGCATTCTAGACTGGCATCAAAACCCCTCGCGAAAGCCTTGGGTACAGCTGGATAGGGAGGCTACAGAAGGTAGGATAGAAAGCATGATCTGGGGAGGGGACCTGGGGCCTCGGGAGCGGGGAGCCAAGGAGGGGCCGGTCACACACACACTCCGGGGATGGAAATCGTTAAGGGAAAAGCTAAACATATCAACCATGCCTAGCCCACTCGTCCCGGTGACACTTAACAGAGGAATTGGGGGAGGCATGCCGGCCGGAGCATGGAGTTTCCTGGGGGAGGGGGACTATATACCCATATGTCGGGTCCTGGGCGCCGACTGACTTCGGGGCCTTGACCCGATTCTGGAGGGGAGACCACGGACCCCCCATGATTATCCTGCGATACCTGCAGCTGAAACACTACTACACGAAGCTGCCACACAGAGAACGTCTCCACAGGGAATCGACAAGGTTCGAAGACCTGTGCGAACGAGGCACCTCCATAGAGCATGCCATCTCCACAATCTACCAACAACAAATAACGAACGATCGGCCAACCGTGGCCACCTTCAAGAGGCGTTGGGAGGAGTCCCTGAATAAGACATTCACCACACCACAATGGAATAAGGCCCTGATATGGCAACATAAGAGCTCCATCAGCTCCTACTACCAGGAGGTTGGATACAAACTGATCTCATTTTGGTACCGAACGCCAGTGGTGCTCCATCAAATGTTCCCGGCGGTGCCGCCGACATGCTGCAGATGTCGTGAGGAGAGAGGCACGCTGATCCACGTGTGGTGGGAGTGCCAGGACATACTCCCGTACTGGGACATGGTGAAAATGGAGACGACGCTCGTGCTGGGGGATGTGCCGGACTGGTCAGCCGAACTGGCTCTCCTGCACATCTCTCAGCAGACGATTTCGAACTATAAGAAGTCAATTCTCCGGCACCTGCTGAATGCTGCTAAGGCAGCCATTCCATCGTATTGGAAACAAACTACCACACCGACAAAGTCGGAGTGGGTACAGCAGATGGAAGACATACAGAGCGCGGAGGTGCTCCATGCCTCCCTAACGGGTAGGGAACTCAAACATACAGAAATGTGGAGCCCATGGTTCATGTACATTGCTCGACGCCCTCGGGCGGGGGGAGGGCTTCTGGGCCCGTGGCGGGGATGGGGACGGGCGCAGCCCTTCGTAGTGTGGACCACCCACCTTAACTACCCCCCTCCATTGTTCTCCTTAAACCTCAACCATACCCAGACAGGCAGGAGGATTCCCGAGGCGGAACATGTGGGACGTGACAGGGGTGCGCACACACTGACACACCATCGAATGCTGAGACACAAAACACACAACAGTCACACAACCAACAAGTAATCACATACGTCAGCAAACTTCAGAAAAGTAGAAGCATACTACCAAAAGTTACCTGTAACGGGACAGCCTTCCTGAACACAAATGTTCCCCAACATACACTGATACATACCCCTTAGATTGCCAAAGACCCACGCCTTCCAACTAGAGAACAGGGACAAGAGCCGTATGCTATAGAGCTTGGTAAAGCTCATCTGCCCAGGTATGGGGAAAAACCGTAATACAAGTTATAGCTGTACAATCACGGTTGGTCAGGAGGCAGAACGCTACATCCCCTGTCAGATCACAGAAGAGACCGTGGGCGACAGGACGATAGCTGACTTATTCACTGTTGGGAAACCTGAGAGCTACAACTGGCCTAGGAACATAAAGGCTCTTAAACACATCACGTTCACCTCTACTGCATGTGTTTTACATGTGGTTTTCTTCCGTTCATTTTTTCTCTTTTTTTTTTTTTCCCCTCTTGCTCTACTCACTTCTGGGGACCTGCGAGCCCCATATGTACAACTGCCCTTCCTCTTTGTACTTTTGTTGATGAAAACTTCAATAAAAAGAGATTTATAAAAAAAAAATAAAAAAACAAGACTTTTCTTTCCCACATAAATCTCACATTTGCATACATGGCCATTCATGGACAGATGTGTGTGCAGATCTGTGTTTAACAAAATATTTACTATCCACTGACTTCAGGTGAAAGGAGTTTTCAATCACTTTTTTTCCACCATTACTCTATTACTTTGTGCTCAATAGCAAGCCAGTAACCAACTTCATGCTGATGAGTTGCATTAACAACGAAACAGCTGTTCACTGGCTTTGCACCTCTTCTTGAGTTGTGTTTCAAAACTTTTGTGTACAACAGACAAACTCCAAGGCATCCATGTATAAAGTGGAATAATGAGGCAAAAAGGTGGTTCTTCGTTGAACTCATTTACATAACCCACCCAGAATAACTTGCAGTAGTACCAGCACTGCAAATGTGAGATTTCTGTAGGGAAAGCAAGACTTATGGCTTGACTGGTGTGTGCAGATCTGTGCTGTTTAATATATATATAAATATATATGTATTTTTTTTGGGGGGTAATATAGAAAATTTCATTCTAAGTGTATTTTGAGATATATATGTAATTAGCTCTGTTTGGGAACACTTATTTAAGCAGGACAATCCTTCCTCATAACACGGATCACATCACTATCAGCACATCAGCATAATAAAGTCCTATTCTCTAACTGCAAGAGGGAGAAACGATTGCTGGGAGAGTAATACTGTGATGGAGAACAGGAGAATTGCTCAGGGGAGGAAGCACTAAGCTATAAGTACCATGACAGGACATTTCTAGCCATCAACAAAATTGCTTTAAAAAATAACAGCAAGGAAACAATATTGGGATTAAAATGGGCATGTTTGAGTTGACAACATACCTTGATGCTTGATCTCTGATTAGGATCCTCTCTAGAATGTAGAAGCCCTGCACCCAGAGATGGCAGCTGAGTCTGAAACACTGAAATCCGTCCACCCATTGGAGACATAAGTTTAAAAGCTCCTTGCAGAGCAGGGCCCAGGGCACTGTGTGTTTCTCGGGTGTTGTTAAACATATTGGGCAAAGCAGTTAATAGATCTTTAATTAGCTGTGAAGAAAAAAATATTACAATGTTATTTTACGTAGCAAACTCCCCAAGGTCATCTCAGAAAACATCTTTGGTAATAACAATTCCCTAAATAATTTCAATTATATGTTTCACCTAACAGAGTTGTCTATTTTTAACGTGCAACAAATGCACAGTCATATTACTGCAATAAGAATTAAAGGGACACTACAGGCACTAAAACCACTCCATCTCAATAGGTGCAATGTTCCTGTCATTGTAAAAAAAATTTGCAGACATTCGGCTGCATTTCCCAGACTTGGTATATAGTCAAGGTATCAGGAATGCATAGAATACTGTTAAAGTGATACTCTAAATGCACTGTATCTTAAGTAAGTGGTTTTGATGCATAGATGATTGATATTTATGTTTGTCCATGAAGACGCCTCTAGTGGCACTTTCTTCTTAAGAACTTTAATTTACGAACGTCTTCAATTTTTGTGTTACCACACACTGCACGGGTGCAGCTAATGCTTTTCTACAAGAAACACTGAATTGATGAATAGTGGCAATTGTCAAGAAACTTTGTCTTAGATATCATCAATTTGAAAGATTTTACTGAAGGTGGAGCAGATATTGCAAAGTGAGTGTGTTGGTGCTGCATTACAAGTTTCATGACAATTATAAGCATAATGGGGGCTGAATCCAAAAGAGGACTAGGAACAGTGACATACAACATCAAATGTTTTTAAAGTGGTCAGATTATATTAAAAGCAAAACTTCATTATGCTTATGTACTAGAACCAGATATCCTGGATTTCCAGCCCAAATTGGACAGGAAACACTAAAAAAAATAAAAATATATATTTTCTATATATTAAATAGACAGACAGACAGATGTGTTCTGTTAAAGTATCCAGTGCAGTGACATACTCCTCCCTACAGCCCAATCTATCTGTGGTAAACACAAGATGCATGCACAGCAAACCCTGACAGTCTAGATGTTATAGAATGTAATATTCAAAGACACACACACACTCTGGAAACAGAACAGGTGAAGGAGGAACCTGTCACTAAACAGAGCCTCTGCCTGCTTGAAAATGAATCTAACCAATAAGCTTTTGGAAGGGGAGGATATGTGTTAAGTTATATTGTTGATGGGAGTATGATCCACATCAACAGTTAACAGTATGTATATATTGCAGCAGTATATAGGACACAGCTGCCTAAAGGTGATGGTATTCACAACTGTACTTAAAATATCAGTGAGTAAAGCATGCCTCAATTAAAGGTGCATATTAGGTGGATATGTGAGTCCTATCAGAATCGGAGAGCAGGGACAAACAGCCCCTCACTGCTGCTGTATAGACACATCGTGTAATGCAGAATCTGAAACATGATTTGCACATTAAAATAACTGGCAGACATTACATATAATTTTCTTTTATACAAGACAGCGCTCATAGGAGTTGTTTTTTTTTTTTTTAAAGTTATTTAATCCCAAAAAAAAGCAAAATCACATCCATCCCATGTACATTTAGCGAAAACCCTTTATATTACTAGGATTTTCTTCACACCACATAACTATCACACTTCAAATATACATACCTCTATGCTTTCATGCAGATTTACAAGTAATCCATCAGGTGTAGGTAAAAAAATGTCTGAAAGTGAAAATAAAATAAATAAATAAATAGAAACAACAACTCTTTGAGAAACAATGTGTGTTATGGGATCTTTCCCTCATGAGCAATCTCTCGTACTATTGTGGACAGGCAAGTATATTTTCAATTTGAAAACTATAAAAAGCCCAAAGAGGGCTGAAAAAAAACCTAACAGAAAGTTTCACGTATTTAATAGAATGTACTTAGCTTTGTAACTTATGTGCCAAGGAGCTGCTAAGATAAGAAGATTTACGAATAAGAAACAAAATAGACTGTCTTATTATATCGGCAGACAGTACTCAATCCAAGGCAGGTCATCTTCCACAAAATCCCCATCTTAAAGGGATACTCTAAACAACTTGGTCTTCAGCAAGCGGTTTTGGTTTATAGATCGTGCCCTTGCAATCTCTCTGATCAATTCTCTGTCATTTAGGAGTTAAACCACTTTATTATGCAGCCCTAGCCACACCTCCCCTGGCTAAGACTCACTCGGCCTTCGTGGAAAAAATGGTTTAATTTTCAAATCAGCTCTAAAAGCATAATATGTTTTTGCTCCTTATCTATTAATAAAAATGTAATCACACACAGGATGCTATTTACAGAGCAGGAGAAAAGATTCTAAATTAACCACACTGTGCAATAAAGATAGATAAAAAGAATAAAGAAGATACACACATTTTCTATAAATTTCTACTCATACAAATATAATTTAAATAAAATCTTTAAAAAAAAAAAAATCTTTAAAAAAATAATCCCCCACCCAAATAAAAACAAAACACCTTTTAATTGGTGGGAATTTCCATATGGATCAGCATTAAAGCTGATCCCACTCAACAGTTCTAGTGGTCAAATAGACAATTGCGTGTTAAAAGTGGTGTGAAAATTACAGCCTTGGGATGGCCTACTTTGTGAATTTTTAGCCAACATCATGACCTACTGAGAGTGTTTCAAGTAATTTGTATTCCAACATTAAAAACATGGAAAATGCAATCAATTTCCAAACTGATTTGCTAGAGTTTACACACTTTTTATTGTGAGTTTATAGAGTTATGCAACAAACTAAATCACATAATGCATTATAAGATGAATAGAAGAATTTAAAAAAACAAAACAATGAGCAGGAATGTAAATGCACGACTTTCAATTTATGTTCACTGACTTGCAATAAATATATACATATTCATAACAGAAAAACTTAGTCATGATGTTCTCAGAACCCACCATCTAAGTCTGAAACAATCAGCATTTGGGGCTGAGACCGATCTTCCTGCAAATTGTAAAAGTGGACTTTGCTATCAAATGTAATAAATCCAATTCTTGTTCTGGAATCTCCACGCAACCTGTAACACACAATATAACACACATTGAATACACACTAATGAACGCTCCAGTAAATATGGAAGTTCTCGGAATGAGCAACTAGTAGCAAGATAATCATCAACATTAGTTGGGACCTAGATTAGGCTCTTGACCTAGCTCACTTAAAGACCAATACACTAATCACAGCTTAAATAGTTGTAGAACAGACTTTAGTTAATACATATAAAATATCAGATTTTTCAATAAATTTGGTGGGTGACATCATACCATGCAATTTAGAAACCCACTGGACAGTTTGGCTCCACACTGTGCACTGCAACACGGCTAACCATAAAGACATACATCACACTGCTTGCTCAAGATGGGAGAGACTGACACCACCAGGCAGCAGTTACTGTCTTCAATTCAGAAACTGCCTTAATAATGATGTGCTGGAAAGGAACTTACTCAGTGTGCGTCTCTGGCTCAATTAAGGACCGACCAACCAAACATTGGCTGTTCATAACTATCAATCTCGCACAGGGCAGGACATCTATGACCCAAAAATGCTCTAGAAACTGCCCTAACTCTAAAATTAAACTCTTTAAAATTACATACAAATACACACAATGCTGAAGAGTGCAATATTGAAAGTAATAGAACTATTGTGAGACACAATTACAATGCAAGCATTTTTTTCTGATTACACACACACACATATATATACACACACACATTTTTATTTTATTTTTTATTTTTTTTGTGACATGTCAGACTGCCTAGGATCATGCATACCTGTCTAAATTATCCAGGAGTGCTTGTGAAAAGATTTTTAAATACCCAGATTCTACAGCATTGTAGGACACATCCAGAACAAAGAGATATACTGCTGGAGGAGGAGGCCGCAGCTTTGAGAAGAGAAAAAAAAAAACAAAGTTACAAAAATAAAAATATGTTTATTGCTGGGCAAGTCTCTATATTGCAGATTTATTTTGTGTGCTAATGCTCAAGGAAAATTTATTTTGTTTAATATATTAAATCATAGACAAAAGAGGATTTAAAAGTAAAAAGAAAGAAAAAAAGATTATATAACTATAAAGTACAGATGTTGAGATAAGCATATCTATATGACATTTTAATAATAACTAGAAAAGTTACAATTTCAGGGGAAATTGTGTGAAGTGTTCTTGCCTCCACCTGTAGTCTACAACTGGAGTGGGCGGAGTAACTGTTATCATTTACATAGCACATTTAATTGCAACGTTGTTGCACAGTTACATTAAACCATACAGTTATAAAAACATTAGCAGGTGTTCAAAAGGCCCTGTCTATGACATCACTTGCTGCTGCAGCTTGACACAGGTCAGAGTATTTTGGCGGTTGCCATCTTCAAACGGTCATATTTTAAAAACTATTTTGATACATAGTATGTCTCTGAAGTATTAAAATTGAAGGCACAGTCGCAGTTTAGAAATTGCACTTCAAATTTGAGCTTTGCAGAGTGAAGTTTCAATGAAAGTCAATGGACGGCGTTAGTTGCAAACAAATGATTATATTGTGAAAACTATCAGGACTATGGCTTAGCTGACATGTTTAGTGGCAGCAGGGATAGCTGAGCGTTTTGATATAAGATTTGTGTAGGTGGGCCTGAAAATAAGGGAGTGGTGGCAGTTTAGAAATCATGTCCTGATTTTTCAGCTTTTGCCAGCTCCCACTCTAGAACGACGACGATATTCCGTGAACCATTCGGCGAAACGTTCCACAAAGTAATAGCAATCCGATCGGGAACAATCTGCACGTTTTGGTAAATTTTTGTCTATGTAGTGTAAAAACTGTGGGAGGAGTTAGGGTGGCAAATTTTGCTATAATAAGAATAATAATAATAACTAGAAAAGTTACAATTTCTGGGGAAATTGTGTGAAGTGTTCTTGCCTCCACCTGTAGTCTACAACTGGAGTGGGCGACGTAACTGTTATCATTTATATAGCACATTTAATTGCAACGTTGTTGCACAGTTACATTAAACCATACATTTATAAAAACATTAGCAGGTGTTCAAAAGGCCCTGTCTATGACATCACTTGCTGCTGCAGCCTTGACAGGTCAGAGTATTTTGGTGGTTGCCATCTTCAAACGGTCATATTTTAAAAACTATAAATCCTACAGCGAAGAGCTTTATATTGTGAGAATCACAAGACCCAGACCTACATTTTGATGCATAGTATGTCTCTGAAGTATTAAAAATTGAAGGCACAGTCGCAGTTTAGAAATTGCACTTCAAATTTGAGCTTTGCAGAGTGAAGTTTCAATGAATGTCAATGGACGGCGCTAGTTGCAAACAAATGATTATATTGTGAAAACTATCAGGACTATGGCTTAGCCGTTGACATGTTTAGTGGCAGCAGGGATAGCTGAACGTTTTGATATAAGATTTGTGTAGGTGGGCCTGAAAATAAGGGAGTGGTGGCAGTTTAGAAATCATGTCCTGATTTTTCAGCTTTTGCCAGCTCCCACTCTAGCTTTGCCATTCATTCCTATGGGACAAATTTCGCCACAAGAACGACGATATTCCGTGAACCATTCGGCGAAACGTTCCACAAAGTAATAGCAATCCGATCGGGAACAATCTGCACGTTTGGTAAATTTTTGTCTATGTAGTGTAAAAACTGTGGGAGGAGTTAGGGTGGCAAATTTTGCTATAATAATAAGAATAATAATAATAATAATAATATATATGTGAGATAACATTAAGTGGTCTTGCTATGCAAGAACACTTAATAATAATAAGATAACATTAAGTGGTCTTGCTATGCAAGAACACTTAATAATAATAATAATATGTGAGATAACATTAAGTGGTCTTGCTATGCAAGAACACTTAATAAAATAATATGTGAGATAACATTAAGTGGTCTTGCTATGCAAGAACACTTAATAATAATAATAATATATATGTGAGATAACATTAAGTGGTCTTGCTATGCAAGAACACTTAATAAAATAAAAATTTGAAAATATTCTGTCCAGTCTCATTTCACAAGTTCAGCATTTTTTGCTATTTTACCATATAGTCAGAAGAAGCAATAAATTCTATTGAGGGATTCAGAACTTCGGGTCTTTTGTGAGGCTCTCCATAGGATCGAGTTACTGGATTATACATGAATTCTTCCGGTACTGTAAATAAACATGCATGGAATTATCTGAAAATGTTATGAAACAAACAAATAAACAGTGATACGAAGATTTACATAAATTCTAAAATTACAATAACTGCCTCTATAAAAGGAGGGTACAGTTGCAAGAAAATACTGTTTAAACATATATTAAACAAATATTCTTAACAATAAAACTGTCAACATAACTTATTCCATTGATATAAAGTATGGCAAATCACGTAACTGTGGCATGACCACATCATGAAGAATTGCTGAATTAACGAACCCATGAATGATTACGGACTTAACAGTCACAAAGAAAATACTTTTTTATTTCTGCAGTCTTCAGTATAGCCTATGTAGCTAAACAATCACATGAAAAATAATGCATTATTGATTGAAGTAGAAAGGTCTTAAGCTGATAGATGCTTCCAGACCTACCATCATTCACTTTGTAACAAAGGTTGCATTTCCACCTCCGCTGGTCAATAAACGATACGAAAGGATTTATGTATGTTCTACAAGTTCTGCATCTTACAATGGTACCGGGAGATATCACAGGCATGTGCTAGAAGAAAATAAATAAAGAACATGACAAGACAAAAATGAAAGGCATGGAATATATATATATATATATAAAATTCCATACCATTAGAAAAATAAATGGGTACTTATGTCTAAACTGATAAACACTTAATATGATCAATAGTAAATGGATCAATAGTTAATCTAACCAAACTAGTTAAGTCTGTCGTTATTCTAACTTGAAGATTGTTTTTTGGCATTAAGTGACCATATTGGAACTGCTTTACAATTATAAACTCTCTTCAAATTGAGATCGTCCAGTTGAGCTATTTAGTTACACAAACAGAAAAGGGTGCTTATTTTCCAGAACGGAGTTCATTAGTCTAAAGCACTCATATATGATGAGAGTAAATGAAATGTTGGTTTTGCCATATGAAGCAGAATTCTTAAAGGGTCACTGTTAGAAGCAAAACTGCTTTATTTTAATAAAAAAAATTTGGGGGTACAGTTGTCTTTTTTTTTTTCAGACAACATAAATTTTTTCCCCAGAGAAACATTAACGTTTACATTTGTTTGAACAACACATTTAGTTGCTATCAGCCACTAGAGAAGATCTTCACGATAGGAATCATCGTGCCCAGCACTATAACGCCGACATCACCCGGCTGGGGTTAGCTAAAGCACATTAAGACTTCTCCCACTGAATTCATTGTATAATGCTTTCCTATGGAGTTTTGGTTGACGCTGGATGTCCTCAAGCATAACATGAGGACGTCCAGCGTGAATTAGGAGACCAAACGTCGGCTAACCACCTGGAAGTCCCTTCAGTGGCTGTCTGGTAGACAGCCACTAGAGGTGGAGTTAACCCTGCAAGCTAATTTTTGCACAGGTCTTTTACACAGGTCAGCTCATTCTTATATAAGACTCTGTTTACCATTATTCTGTAGATCTCATTGGTCGTTGTTAAGCAGTAACCAGTTAATATTTATTGCGCTGTCTTGCCAAAACACCATGTCTGCGTAAACCCATATAATTCTACACTACCATTTTGATACGAATGTATATCCAGTTTAGTTTTACGGCGCTGACTTGTGTGGTTTTCCTATACAAGTGTAAGATTTATGTTATGCTGAATTATGCAGTTTTGAAACTATATCATATCTTCGGTGCATGTGCCCACCATTTTGGTTTTTATTGATATATGCAACGTTCAAACTAAAACCTTGAATAAATTTTTTTATTTTTTTTAAAAGTACATGCAGACATGAGCAATATACCATACAATGGAAAGGTGATAGGTAAACTAGCCTAGGAACCCTTGCAAGTCAAATGTTTCTGGAACCTCAATAGAATTCACAGAAAGTACTATAATTGGATATAAAACTCAGCCACGTCCTTGTCATTGCAGAAGCTTTGCAGAGACAGCAGGCTTTTGGCAGTCCGCTGCAATAAGGGACATTATGATTATTATCCCCCTTACCCCCCATAATGCATTAACAGGAGATACACTCAAATCCAATCTACTGTTTGGAAATACCAGATTTGTAAACAATTTCCTTTCCGTATAAACAGAGTTGCTAATGGTAAATACACTAACGATTTTATGTTTTTGTGGAATATTTAATAGAAAAGATGCAAGTCATTTTTTTTCTTAGACAGTTGACAAGTTTCTGAAAATATGATTATTGTTAAGGTTCAGTCTCATATGTCAATAGCCCTACTTAAAGGAACCCTATAGTGACAGGAACACAAACATGTATTACAGACCCTATAGTGTAAAAAAACACAATCTAGCCCCTTGGCCCACCCTTGCACCCCAAATTATTGTAAAATCTTACTTGTATTCAAGTTTGTAGCTGCTGCCTCTGCCCCTGATCTGCCTGCTTGGCTGACATCATCAGAAGTGCTTTCCCATAGGAATGGATGAGATTATCAGAGGGAGATCAAGGGCAGAGTCAGCAGAAGCCAAACACAGCCCTGGCCAATCAGCATCTCCTCAATAATCAATGCATCTCTATGAGAAAAGTTCAGTGTCTCCATGCAGAGGGTGAGGACAGGAAGCACCTCTAGCAGCCATTTGCGGAGTGGCCAGCGGAGTTATCACTAGGCTGTAATGTAAACACTACATTTTCTCTGAAAAGACGGTGTTTACAGCAAAAAGCTTGAAGGGAATGATAATATTTACCAGAACAAATACAATAAGCTGTAGTTGTTCTGGTGACTATAGTGTCCGTTTAATACACATTTGTTTTCCCTTTTCAAGAACACCAAAGAAAGGAGAGAATGCAAAACAGTATTTGGAATGCCTTGAACTCTGAGTCCAAAGCAAGTAACCGAGAACAGCTTAAAGGAACATTCTCAGCACTAAGACCACATGTTGTAGTGGCTATGATGCCTGGAGTGTTCCTTTAACCCCTTATGGATGGCGGGTGTTTTATGCCGTCCTTTTAACGGTGGCTCTAAACGCTGGTGGGCGGTATAGAACGTCCCCGCCGTCCTTATTACTTACCCGGTCACTGCTGTTCCCCTGCCGGCGATCGGCAGTGCTCCCGGTCTGGTGGGACTGCCTGACAGCCCAGACAGTCCCCCCTTGGCAAATTAGGCCCCTGCGGGCCATGTGATCACTCTGAAAGTGCAGTCACATGGCCGCATTAGGCGTACATAGTGCTGCCTGCAGGGGGACTGCCTAAACTGATAGGCAGTCTCCCTGCTGCTGTAAAATAGAAAAATATATGTATGTGTGTGTGTGTGTGTATATATATATATATATATATATAAATATAAAAACATCCAAACTCTGGCACTCTGCCCAAAAATATTAGAAAATTGGAAACGCCAAGGTGCTTCTCTATATCAATAAATTCTACGTGCATATTTATGTAATATTTTTACATAATTAAGTAATTTTATTGATTGCAATTTGATGGACCTGCCTGACAACCCAGGCCGCAAGTCCAGAGAATTTTATTTCCTAGCACTAGATTTAAATCTGTAACTTTCCAAGACACCCTAAAACCTGTACCCTAAAACCTGTACATGGGAGACTCCGCTGAACACAAATATCAGTATTTCAAAACAGTAAAACATATCACAGAGATGATATTGTCAGTGAAAGTAAGTTTTTTTGCATTTTTCACACACAAGAGGCACTTTCACTGATGAGCTCATTGTTGTGATATGTTTTATGGTTTTGAAACACTAATATTTGTATTCAACAAAGTCTCCAGAGTATAACAGTACCCCCATGTACAGGTTTTATAGTGTTTTTGAAAGTTACAGGGTCAACATTTTTTCACATTGAAATTTGCAAGATTGGTTATGTTGTCTTTGAGGGCGTATGGTAGCCCAAGAATGAGAATTACCCCCATGATGTCATACCATTTGCAAAAGAAGACAACCCAAGGTATTGCAAATGGGGTATATGTTCAGTCTTTTTTAGTAGCCACTTAGTCACAAACACTGGTCAAAAATGTAGCATTCATAATAGTTTTTTTCATTTTTAACACACAAACAAATATAAGTGCTAACTTTGGTCAGTGTTTCTGACTAAGTGTATACTAATAAAGTTTGGACATACCCCATATTGAATACCCTTGGTTGTCTACTTTTGCAAATGATATGCCATCATGGGTCGGAAAAATAACAAAACAGCGTCGGACAAACCTGCTCCAGGGCTGACAATCGGAGAAATGTGGCGGCAAGCATGCGGCAAAAGCGGATCCAATATGGCGGCTCTCCACAGAGGCTGCTCGGATTTCTCGGATGACTGTTCAGGAGATGCCGGGGATGACTACCTTCCAGCCTCAGCCCCAATGCCGAGGGCGAAACACAAACTGGGAGCTGACTCTGACCTGGTAACCACCGGGGTATTAAAAACCCTATTGGCAGACCTACAGAAGAACATCCTCACGGATGTCACCGCTCTTAGGGGTGAGCTGCAGGGCCTGACAGGCCACATAAAATCGCTGGAGGACACCTCCCAAGAACATCAGCAGAACATTTCTTCGCTACAGAAAGTTGTGCAGGACTTACAACACCAAAATTTGTTACATGAACGCTGCTTCGCGGCTCAAGAGGATGCTAGAAGGAGACATAATTTGAAGATCAGAGGGATCCCGGAGGAGATGCCGGAGGCAGAGCTGCCGCAAGTACTCAAGCGCATGTTTGCAGCCATATTACTCCCCGGACAGGCTAAATCTATTACACCCACAGACCCCTTCCAGGTCCCCAAACCCACCAGGACCCCAGCCACAGGGGACACAATAGTTACCTTCAGGACCGGGAGGGACAAATCGATAGTCCTCGCCGCCCTCCGGGGTAAAGCCCCCTTGCAGTTTGAGAACATGGCGCTGACCTTCTTCGCCGACCTGTCCAGTGGAACTCTAGCATGACGCAGGTCACTCCGGCCTCTCACCTCCCTGCCCAGCGACAAAACATACGGTACCGATGGCGGCCCTCCCAAACACTCCTCGTACAGCATGGAGATACACACCCAATCCAAGGCATTCAGGATGCAGCCGATCTCCTGCGAACCCTGGGCCTACCACAAGACTCACTCATCCAAGAGAGATCCCACGACCTAACCTCTCCTGCCTGCAACTGGGATCCAGCAAGAATCGCCCCGTTCATCCCACGAAGCACCACGCCAGACGCTTATGCCTCAGTCACCACCTAAAAGGGGGCAACGGGCAACACTCACTCAACTAAGTGGCATCACGAACTGCCTTTCCCGAACTACTGCAACCCGTCTTCTCTAGAGGATTTTGAACCTCTCAGGACACAGTTAAAATTGTTGTTTTCCTATTATATTATTAGATCTGCTTTCAGTTTGTTATAGCTACCTCCATAGCAATAATTCATGCAACACACAGAGCCACGTCCACAGTAGGGCACTTAACCCCTGTTAGTAGACCTAACCGTAGCAGGACAGCTCAACCACCCTACACGGAGTTAGCTAGCACGTAACAGTTACTGCACAAGTTGACTATGTCCCACCCATACCCTGCACAAACAAGTATATTAACGGTTAACTAAAATACCAGGATATATGCCCAGGCTTTAAGCTAAGAATACATACCCATTCATGGACATGCCCTGCATGAGCCTGTTTCACTAATCTCATATTGTGCAATGACAGCCAGCTCTATCCTACTAGCGTGGTATGTTCCTTTTATTAGCTGACAAGCACAGAAGACCTAGTATTTTGTTGAGATTTGTTAGCAATGTTACGCCTGGTGATCTCCTTACTATTTTAGCATTCTCTAAGACTCATAGGTGCTATACTACTAATTACAAAAAAAAAAAGGTGCAACTGTTTCTTATGCCTTGATATTGTACACTTTCGAAATACTTCTTACTGATAACGTGGCACTGCAAGCACAAGTGTTACTCCCTGCATTAAGAATTATTAAAAAAAAAAAATGGTGTAAGAGATTTGCTTACCGGTTTGCTTTTGAAAGGATGAAGTAGTAGTCCTAGTGGGAGCTTGGCTTTATTCAACAGAGCTTGGGTATGTGGAATACCATTAAGTGTGCATCTAAAATAACTACAAATAGGAAAAAAGAATAATTTAAATGCTACCTATTGGCAGGAACAAACAAACACAGGTTTAAAAATGGAAGTGGAGTAGAGACGAACGAATAGTAACTGACTCATTGCACAATAAACTCATGCACAATATAGCTTATTTAAAATCTTGTGCACACATAAGTAGTATATTTCTGCCAAAACGGGTTTAAAGCATTAGCGGAAGTTTAAGTAACTCTTTGCTATTAAGAAGGTTATTAAAGAGTAAATGCTTTTCCATTAATACAAAGGAATTCAAGTAACAGCCTTTATTAAAGCACTAACATTCTCATTGCCTTTGATTGATAGTTGACTAACTTGTAGCAGCACATCTTCATGGGTTTGTTAAAGGGAGGGACAATTACTCTCCCAGTTTACACAGGGATATTCAAGTATTATTTACCCTCACATAACAGAGGATCATGGGCTGAATCATAGAACCACAACCTCACATTTTGATATTTGGTTTCAAATATAAATGACAACAATATTGGTTGTTTACAGTTTTAATAAATACAATAACATCCTGTACTTTCCGTCAAAAAGTGAATACAAGATAAAAAAAAAAAAAAGCCAATTTCAGGAGACCCCTTAATTAGTCTCGAGAAACAAATGACCAAAACCTGCTACAACTACTAATAGAGTTGGGTGTCACTTAAGCAGCAACAAAGTTAATAATTAAAGAAAAACTATCACTTTTCTGGAATTTACACCAGTGAATAAAACACAAAAAAATCCACAGATTCCCAAATTCTAAAATCTAGTTAAGACAAGGCAAAGTTCGGGCAAGCATTGCCACTAGAGATGAGAAATATAAACATTGTTTCATTTCTCCTCTTCTCTGTATGCTTTCTCAAGGCTACCTGCCAGTTGCAAAGGAAGGGACTTATAACACGGATTGACACGAAGTTAAAGGACCACTATAGTCACCAAGACCACTTCAGCTCAATGAAGTGGTCTGGGTGCCAGGTCCCTCTAGTTTTAACCCTGCAGCTGAAAACATAGCAGTTTCAAAGAAACTGCTATGTTTACACTGAGGGTTAAAATCCAGTCTCTAGTGACTGTCTCACTGACGGCCACTTCCGTGATTCTCATTGTGAAAATCACAGTGAGAAGACGCTGACGTCCATAGGTTTCAATGTGTGTGCGGCTCTTGGGGAGGGAGCCCAGCGCTGAAGGGGTTTTAACCCCTTCAGCCCAGCGGAGAATGGGGGGGACCTAAGGACTACATAGTGCCTGGAAAACAAGCTTCCTTTATGAATGCAGCTTAGAGACGTGAATTTTTCATTTAATTATTTTTCACTTCTTACAAGTACAGAAATGTGATTATATGTAATTATAGTTTCTTTACATTAAAACCAAATATTAAAAATGATTTTGTTCACTGATGAAGAATACCTACTCTGGATTGCAGTTTAACTTTCTAAGGTCCAAACTCATGTTAGGAGCTGGAGCAGGCAAGGTTGATGTAGGGAGGACATTCCTATCTTGAATTAGGTTCACAGGTCGCAGGCCTTCTGGTTGTTGAGCCTGTTGAAGACTTAATCCTCCAAGAGAAGCTGGCAGTTGGTTGTAATGCTGTCAAGCAGAAATATACAAGAAGGGGGGAGGAGGAAAAAAAACATTAACAAAAAAACAAGAGCAACGAAGTATAGATACAATTTTAGCATGAGAAGGTAAATTGAGGGGGGAAAGCCTTTGCAGCGTTTGAGAGATGGCCTAATAAAAATCACTAGTTTGAAGGTTACCATGATCCTGAGATGCAATTATTTTACCAACTATGTGCTATTGAGCTTTGCTATACTCGTGTTGTATTTTATTTCCATGATCTCATAAATCCAGGGCCTGACCTAATAGTGGCAGCTGAAGACAATTAGCTACACCATGCATTAGTTTTCAAGAATGGTGAAATGCCACCCCCATTGCAGCATGGGACTTGAAAAGATAATATTTTTAAAAAACACTCAAGGAAACTGACAAACACATAAGCAGGACCAAAGTCTTGTGCATGTTACTCTCCTATTTAAGGAGATTCATGGCTGAGCCTGGATGATCCTTATAATCCATAACTAAAGAACAAAGCCATATGTGCCTGTGACAGATAGTAAAGCAACAAGATCCCTTTATAAGTGACCTACTTTGGAAAGTAAAAATGTATGTAATATATTTTTTGGTTCACAACTTTCTGTACAATCCCTTGCATGCCCCCAGACATCCAGGCAGCTGCCTGCCTTCCCTTTCTCAAAGCCCAGCGAATTCCCAATGCTTTACCAGTGGGCTGCTGAGAGTGCTAGCTGGATGGTAAGTGTGAAAGCCAGGGAACCATACCATACATTAATGTTGGACACTGGAATACGGGCATCTTAGAGGGTGAATAGATTAGGATGGAGCTAACCAGTGTTAACACACGTTCTTCCATAAAATGTGTTCCTTTTTTGAAAGCATCAAACATCTGGGGACAGGAAATGCGCTAACTACCACTGGGTAGCAATCACTGTAAGGGGCACCTGGAAAGACTATTCTGGACTTAAAGGGACACTTCAGGAACCCAGACCACTTCTGTTCATTGGAGTGGTCTGGGTGCCAACTCCCACCACCCTTAACCCTGTTTTTATAAAATGCATTAATTACATTGCAGGGTTAAGTCCTCCTCTAGTGGCTGTCTATTAGACAGCCACTAGAGGGACTTCCGTGATCTTAGAAGACGAAAAGTGTTTTAAACGATGCTGGACATCCTCACAGTATGCATGAGGACCTCCAGCGTCGCTGGAATCCCCATAGGAAAGCATTGCATGCGCATTAGGTCTCCCCACTGGCTGACATCGGCGTGGGCTGAGCCTGACCCAGCACCGAGGCATATCGCGCTGGATTCAGGTAAGTCATTGAAGGGGTTTTAACCCCTTCAACAACATGGAATGGGTGGTGGGAGGGAGAGGGGTACTGCAGTGCCAGGAAAACGGATATGTTTTCCTGGCACTGGAGAGTCCCTTTATAACTACTAAAGATAAAAAGATACAAAATTTTAATCATTACCTTAAAGGAAACATGTATTCCTGAACCTAGTGTGCAAAACCCACTTTAAGCCCCATTTAGGTGGCTTGACCCCCCTCCCCTTACATGTTAATGAAACTCACCGCATTCCCAGCGTCGCGCCCATTGATGACATCATCAGAATTGCAGATTTTAAGCCAATCCAATGCTTTGCCATGGGGAAACCTTTGGATTGGCTAAAATTGGCAAGGGGTCGGGCCAAACGCCGTTTTGGCCATTTAGCACCTCCTCATAGAGATGCATTAAATCAATGCATCTCTATGAGGAAAATTCAGCGTCCCCATGCAGAGCGTGGGGATGCTGAACAGCAGAGCTGCCTACTGTGCAGCACTGAGCCAGGAAGCACCTCCAGTGGCCATCTGAGGAGTGGCCACTTGGAGGTGTCCCTAAGTGCAATGTAAGTGTTTGCATGAAAATGCCTGCCTATAATGATTATACTCACCAGATCAACTACATTAAGCTGTAGTTCTGGTTTCCCTTTAAGGCTTATTGTTTTAAAATTCTCAAAAAAACAAAACTCTTGAATATTTCATATTAGGAGTAAAATAATTATACAATCACCATTTCACATTAAAGGGTTACTACAACCATAGTGACCATTTTAGTGATTTGAAGTGGTCAAGGTTGCAGGAGTTGGTATGTGCAGCGTTTCTGCTTGAAATGATGTTCTTACAGGGTAATTGGCACTTGTGTAACTAGCTCCAGGCACATGTGACTTTGGCAGAGCCTGCGAGGGGAAGCATGGATGTTCCTGCCATGCGATGCGAGACAAAGTGACATTTTAGGTGCTGAATAAAGGATTCATAGAAATGGTTTCAAAATGTATTTGCGGCTTGTCAAGTACATGCAGCCATACTGACTGTGTTCATTTTGCATCAGAGGCTTATTTTACTGTAACAACAAGTTTCTTACCGTAGAATACTGTGAATAGCTAGGCTGGTGAACAGGAGTATTAGACTGGGAGTTCTGTTGTGGTGTGGCATTTTGGTAGCCAGGTTGAAGTGCTGGGTATCCATGGCCAATTGCCTTAGCAGGTTTGGAGACATTGGTAAGAGATGGGCCACTCGGTGGTGCCTCTAGAAATACAAAACAATTATTCATGCTGCTTTTAATAAAATGATCAATAATTACTGACTATACCAAGCCATTAATGTGTTTTCTTCCAAAGTTTATCACAAGCAACCCTTAATTTGAGTGCCCTCTAAAATTAACCTAGGTCTAATTTGAAAAAAAAAAAAAAAAAAAAGATAGTTACCACTTTCTTTGCTTTACCCAATTAAATGAAAAAAAAAAAAAAAATATTAAAAGGAGGTTTCTAACCCTTTCTTTCATCTTCTAAGAAATGTTGTTAAAGTGTACCTTTCAGAATTGCTAGCAAGTATTTAGATTGCTAGAAAAAAAACTATTAAAGAAAAAAAAAGGGACCTCCACATCTGTCGCGAAATAATTAAATTTAAAGAGTTATCGGCACTTTTATAAAACTCTTTATTTGAATCCTGCCATCTCTTCCTCAAACGTTTTCACCTCAAGGTGGAAAAGACACTTCAGACACACTGGATTTAATGTTTCTTTGGCATTGATACGCATGCACAATGTTTCCCAATGCTTCTTTATCAGACATCCTGTATTGGCAGAGCAACGATCACTCGTGAAGATCCACCAGAGGCCGTGTGGAGATGTAACAAGGAGACTGCTTTCAAAGCTGGTGCAGACGTAAAAATATATATTTTTTTTACATGAAAGGAGGAACCCAGAAATCCACTACAGAACACCCCAGCATATTTATAACACCGGAGTGTTCCATTAAATTGAAGATGGTATTGCATGATATTTGCACTCTAAACACTTTTAAATTTTATATCTATTGAAACAAAGCCTTTAATAACAAATTAGAAGCAAATATATGTATGTCAAGTATGTCCTCTAACCTGAGTAAGATGTAAACAATAAAACAAGCAACAAATTAGGAAAGTGGCAGTTATGACAAAGGCATTAGCCACTGAATATGTTTAGAATTAGTTACTAACATGACAATTACCAGGAATTCAAAGTGAATGTTTAGAACAAAATAGGCCAATTGAAAACAAGGTGACTTGTAGAATTTCTCTAGTTTAGCTATTTTGGCCTTAAATTTGAAATTCACTCTCATTCAGGACAACTATCACATTAATAAAGAACCCTGTACCTGTTTTTATTCAACTGGCACCATGATTATAACCGTGGTCATAAAGAACTAGTTACCTGTGTAACCTCCCCCTTCAAGGACATCATAATTTTTCGGCTCTGAGGATGAACTGCTGGTGGTGGAGGAACTTTCATCAATACCTAGTAATACATGGATATCAAGATATATATATATATATATATATAAATAATTTTTTTAATTATTATTATTATTACATATCCGTGGCACTTGTCTGGTCAGTGCAATTCATTTCTACAGGATTCATGTTGTTTCCATTCATTTTAAATGTGAACAATTTTAAATCTCTGAACATCAATTTTGCTGCAGAACAGAAGTAGTAATTTGAAGAAATATAATCACAAGGTATTACTAAAAGATAATCTTGCAACAGATTGAGTTTGCTTTTTTTCAGCTTAGTTATTGTGGTCTTAAAGCAGTTCTGTCACTTTGCAGGTTTCACTTTTAAATTAATCCTTTTTTTCTTCTTCTTGTTTTATAGGCACCCAGAACTTTTCAACTAAATTAAGTGCTCTGGGTTCAGTGCCCATGTCCCCTTAACTAAGCTAGGTAAGACACTGCAGTTTTAAAGAAAACGCAGTGTTTACATTGCATTGTAAATACTGCCTCTAGTGGCAGTGCCTCTAATATTCCAGACAGCCACCAGTGAAACTACTTGCAGTTTCATGTTTAACTCACCTCCACCGCCAAAAAAAGCCAAGACAGAGCTGCTTTAATCTCACCAGCTCTAAGTGTAGCAAATAAATCATGTAATAATGTAGGGTTCCATTCACCAAACTGAGTTTTAGTTAATAACATGGTACCTTTTGACATTTAAATGTGATGTAAGTAGAAAATTAAGTAAATTAACTAAATGAACAATAATTAAGCAGATGAATGCATGTGTCCCCAAGAACACCTCGCTGGGTTAAAGGACCACTATAGTGCCAGGAAAACATACTCGTTTTCCTGGCACTATAGTGCCTGAGGGTGCCCCCACCCTCAGGGTCCCCCTCCCGCCGGGCTCTAGGGGGAGGAAGGGGTTAAACTTAAGCTCTTTCTCCAGCGCCAGGCGGGGAACTCTCCTCCTCCTCAGCGACGTCATCGGCTGAATGCGCATGCGCGGCAGGAGCCGCGCGCATTCAGCCAGTCCATAGTAAAGCATTCTCAATGCTTTCCTATGGATGCTGGCGTCTTCTCACTGTGAAAATCACAGTGAGAAGCGCGAAAGCGCCTCTAGTGGCTGTCAATGAGACAGCCACTAGAGGCTGGATTAACCCTATTATAAACATAGCAATTTCTCTAAAACTGCTATGTTATAGAAAAAAGGGTTAATCCTAGCTGGACCTGGCACCCAGACCACTTCATTAAGCTGAAGTGGTCTGGGTGCCTATAGTGGTCCTTTAACTACTGATTTCAAAGGGACGCTAGCACTGCACGTGAGCTCAGAGGGACCACTCACTATTGTTTGTGAATTCCGTCAATTGTATTCTCAGTGAATTTATGTTTGCTAAAAACTTACTTAAAGGATCACTATAGGGTCAGGAACATAAACATATACTCCTGACCCTATAGTGAAAACTCACCTTATTTCCAGCTCTCCACGGGTCTGCTGGCGCTGGCCCCGCCCCCCTGGTGACATCAAAATTGCCCCATGGAGAAAGCATTGGATTGGCTAAAATTGGCCAGGGGCGGGACCAAACATGTTTTGGCCAATCAGCACCTTCAGTGGCCATCTGAGGAGTGGTCACTTGGAGGTGTCCCTAGAGGCAATGTAAGAAGTGTTTGCATAAAAATGCCTGAAGGCAATGATTATACTCACCAGAACAATCACATTAAGCTGTAGTTGTTCTGGTGACTATAGTGTCCCTTTAAACTGAAAAGAGCAATTACTCAACAAGCAACCTTTGCTCAACTTAGGGAGTACAAACACATTTTACCAATCATGAAATAGATCAATGCATCATGAAACAAGCAGAAACATTTCATTTATTAATAATGAATCAGTTTTGTTTTTGGCAATTCAATATACTTTGTCAAGACAAAGTATAGTTTTAATACAAAATGCGTAGACTATACAGTCCCCGGACTGCATCTACTAAGACATAGAACAGATATTTTGGATACAGAAATATCTTTATGTGAGAATTTTAAAGTTCCTATGGGGGTTGAATAAAGCTTTTATATTTTAACACATATCTGTCCATTCATCTGCTAGTTTTTTCAATAACTGTCGCCTAGGCCTCTGCACACTATTCTCTGGTTTTATGTCAATCTAGTTAAAGGATCACTGTAGGATTAGGAATACAAATGTGTACTACTAACCCTATAGTGTCCATTAAATGTTTAGTTACAACCACATTCTCCAAGTGCAAGAAAAGGTAACTTACCTTCTCTCCCACGCTGCTCTCTCCGCGGCTGGTCCCACCTCCAATGCAGAGATCATGCCCGTGACCACCTCGTGTCCACTGCTCACACCCGTACGGCCAACTCGCGCACGGCTCCCTTCCTATGGAATGGCCTGCCTAGCCCCATCAGACTCTCCCCTAGTCTTCAATCCTTTAAGAAGTGCCTTAAAACCCATCTCTTTAGGAAAGCTTATTACCTCTCAGAGTAACCTCTACCTTACACACTTGTTTCTTGCCCTCTCCTATAGGGCGGCACTTTACTCTCTCCTCCAGCGCTGCTTCACTCCCCCCTTATTTGATTGATATTTCCTGTCGTAATGTGTTTAATACCCCACCTCCTATAGACTGTAAGCTCGTTTGAGCAGGGTCCTCTTCAACCTATCGTTCCTGTAAGTTTTCTTGTAATTGTCCTATTTATAGTTAAATCCGCCCTCTCATAACATTGTAAAGTGCTACGGAATCTGTTGGCACTATATAGATGGCAATAATAATAATTATGATATCAGCCTAACCACTGCTTTCCCTAAGGAAAGCAATGGGAGGCTAGCGCACATGTGCAGCAAAATAGTGGGCCAATCTGATGGTCGCTATTGGACCATCTAATTGATATAGCAGAGTTTTATTTTTCAGTATAACAGCCACTAGATGCTGTGTTAAGTGATCTAGGTGCCTATAGTTTCTCTTCAAGAGCAGTTTGACAAACAACAATGCTCTTCCCAGCCCCTTGAAGGCCACCAACTCCACAGACGCACTTATAATGCAGAATTTCTTCTTCTGCATTATAATATTAATTTTCTACAACCTGGATACCAGTATCTGCTCTCCACGTACCAATGTCATTCAAGTTGGTCAAAATTGACACTGATAGTACAGAAGTGATAATTCTGCATTATTAATGCTGTTGAAGGTAGGGTGATCTTTGAGCATGATGAAGAGCCGAAGGATGCAACCCCCAGAGAGACTCTAAGCAACATAATCTCTACGCTAAGCTACTGTAGTATAGTTGCTATGTGTTCCTTCACAAAACTGTATATATTGAAGAAAAATAAAATAAAATACAAGGAGATGATTAATATTAAGACTATGTATATTCTAAAATAAAAACCAGGCAAGAAACATTTCTTCAGTTTCTAAAATTAACACACATTTGAGAAAGTGTGAAATTTTGGACTATTACTTTTTGTTTCAATCTGTCATAACGATCTTTTAAATTAATTTCCTCACTAGATATGAGCTAGCACCAGTGACATAAATATTGCTCCACTATGAAGAACAATTTGTACATCACGAAGTAGGCAAAGTGGCTTGTATCTGTGGGAGCCTGATAGAGTTGTTATGGTGGTTCCCTAGAGTAAAGGAGATGTGTTGGAAACATATACCTTATATTTTGTCTTTTGCCACATGAGCAAGGGGCTACATGTGGCCTATTCTTAAATGTTCCCACTAAATGCACTGTCCCTTAGCATTCACGATAAATCCTTTGCAACTGCCCAAAGTAAGCTTAAAGCACAAAATATTTACTGTGCTATACAATTTTACCCTATATTTACTAAGTATTTGATTTGTTTTCCAGTTTTAGATTTTTGAGCAGAAGAAAAAAAAATGTTATTTCAAGGGATACTCCAGGCACCATTACAACTTTTAAGCAATTATACAGCTTTTAGCATAAATATTTAGCTATTATTTTGCATGCTTTGTTTTGTAAAGTATTTCAATGAGAGACAAAAACAACCAGAAAAACCCCACATTTGCAGCATTCTGTCTAGCCTGTCCCCCTTCTAGTTATTGTACATACATATGTTGTCCAATAGCTCCCTTTCTGTCCCTCCCTCCTAAACAGCACTGTTTCTCCAATAACAAAGAGGCCCATGTCATCATGAAGCACAGTAAAACCGAACTACAATTCATGCAAACCCATGTTCTGCCCATAATTCTCAGCTGTGCATAGATAGTGGATTAAGTCAGCACTTTCAATAAGAAAGTTATTGGAGCAAGCTGATTTCTGATGAAGTCCCCACAGAGAATTGCTGAAAATCTGAGCCTTATGAAATTATTGTTAATGCATTAACTTTTTCTATTACTATTATTATTTGTGATTGGTTGATTTTGCATATTTTTAATACACTATCTTGATTATGTATAAAAAAAGGATTGTAGCCCTGAAGAGCCTTTTAAAGAAACACTCCAAGCACCCAACACCCCTACTTCTGGAGAAGCCAGATGTCTCTAAAGCAAAAGACTACCACATTAGCTAAGCACTCGCAACCAGCATTGGACCTGCCTTGTTTCATGGAGACATCTGGCTTCTTCTGCTGGTGACATTCTAATGTTGTTTGATATCTTAGAATGAGATGCAGTGGTTATGGTGCTAGGAGTATGCCTTTAAGACACAAATTAAACAGATGAGAATCATTTGAAATAATTCTTACCTTAAAGTACCCCTGATGGACCACACCAGAGGGGTGGAACCTAAGGTGTACAATACAAATCTCAGAATACAATACACTTAGAATGTAATATTTCAGAGGATTTATGATAATTAAAGTTTGTAAGAGTTCAGACAATCAGATGAGTTTTATGTTCAACTCACTGAAAAGAATGGATGAACATTTCATTATATTTCGGGCGCATGGTTTGATCACGGTCAGAAGTTCCTGCAACTAACACTTTGACTGCCATTTTATAAAGAGAAACAAAATTACAAGGGATAACCAAGGAAATCCACCATATTCCTCACGCAAACAACAGGTATACCATTATAATCTGGAACAGAAGAAAGAATAAACTAACCAACCAAACTGTAGAGAACGACATTTTTAACAGTGCTATACACAAAAGGAGCCTTGTGCAAATTTTTCCAGTAAAATAGGTCAGTAAAGTTAGTAATTGTACATGGGCCAGAAAAAAAGAAGAGAGAAAGGAACAGTCATATGGGATCATGCTAGACACCGTAAAAAAGCTAAAGCAGACCTGCTTCCTCATCATCCTCCTCTTCCTCATCATCGTCTGAGCTGGATGACAAGGGAGATGGTGCAGAGTTAGCTTGATTATTGACATATCCAGCATACTGCATGCCTGTAGAGTACAGAAAGCACAAAAGACAAGAATGGTCAGACTGACAGGAAAGCAGAGAATCATTATGCAAGGCCTCCCCCACAATGCTGAATTTCAGGACCTACAACAGGACACAAACTATGGCAACTTCATCACTTACAACATTAAGCCATATCCTAGATCAATTCAAACATTTATAAAAAAACAAAACAAAAACACCATAATGTTGTATGAGATCAAAGCTTTTCCTTCCTGCCTTTGTACGCTTCAAGAAGGGTAAAACTTTTATAAAAACCTTTATAAAATGTTTATTTCATCAAATAATTCTACAGCTGTGCAAAGATTAAGAATACTGAGGTTACTGATGGGATGATGCCCCAGTGCTTTTAATGGAAATAAACTTAAACATTTTATGACAACTTACTTGCAGCCCTATTTACATGCCCGTAATAAAAAGTAAACGGTTTCCATATTGCACGCTCTTTAATTACATGTGGTTAATTCACATACCCTGTTTACAATTGGATCATAGTAAATACCTTGCCTAGTTAGGTATCTACTATGATGCAATTGTAAAACCGTTTACTTGTGATTTACATCCAACAGCAAAGTTCTTCAGAATTACTTTAAATTTTACTTGCAATTTATCAGTTATTTCTATGATCTGTGCAAGTTTTGCTTGGTTACAGATCACACATTATCATGTACATTGTTAGCTATTTTAATATCTGTTAAAGATTTGCTCCTGCACAAAAATAAGTTGCAACAATAGGAGACGAAGTAAACTATTTAATCCCTTCAGGACGGAGTCAACAGTGCACGTTCTGATCAAAACAAAACGTAAACAAAAACTGGAATTTGCTACATGTCTGTCCAACCGCTGTCACATTAAGTTCCCGCACACTTATTATATATCATTTTGTTCAGGAGAAACAGGGCTTTAATTTATCATTAACTATTCATATATGGAACATAATTTATTATGAATAAAATTTAAAAAAAATTGAGAAAATAAGATTTTTTTTAAAATTTGTATTTCCGTCTGACATTTTAGCTGTTAATGTCATAATACTGTTAGGTTTTACTGCAAAAAAATGCACATATTTGTAATCAGCGATGTCTCACGAGTACAACAGTACCCCCCATTAACAGGTTTTATGGTGTTTTGGAAAGTTACAGGGTCAAATATAGCACATTACATTTTCAAATAGAAATTTGCCAGATTATTAATGTTACCTTTGAGATGGTGTGGTAGCCCAGGAATGAGAATTACCCCCATAATGGCATACCATTTGAAAAAGTAGACAACCCAAGGTATTGAAAGTGGGGTATGTTTAGTCTTTTTTAGTAGCCACTTAGTCACAAACACTGGCCAAAGTTAGCGTTCATATTTGTTTTTGTGTGAAAAAAAGCAAAACTAATATTTGGCCAGTGTTTGTGACTAAGTGGCTACTAAGAAAGACTGGACATACCCCACTTGCAATATCTTAGGTTGTCTACTTTTGCAAATGGTATGCCATCATGGGGGTAATTCTCATTCCTGGGCTACCATACGCTCTCAAAGGCAACATAACCAATCTGGCAAATTTCAATGTCAAAAAAACGAAATGCAAGCCTAATATGTGACTCTCTAACTTTCCAAAACACCATAAAACCTGTACATGGGGGGTACTGTTATTCTCGGGAGACTTCACTAAACAACAAATCTTAGTGTTTTAAAACAGTAAACATATTACAACAATAATATAGTCCATAAAAGTGCTGTTCGTTTGTAAAAAATGCAAAAACCGTCACTTTTACTTAAAATATCATCGTTGTAATACAATTTACCAGTTTTAAACATTAATATTTGAGTTCAGCGAAGTCTCCCGAGTAAAACAGTGCCCCCTATGTACAGGTTTTATGGTGTCTTGGAGAGTTACAGGGTCAAATATAGTGCTTGCGAATTAAATTCTCTGCACTTTCTCCCTGTGTTGTCAGGCATGTCAATCAAATTTTAATTAATCAAATCACATAATTATGTTAAAAGATTACTTAAATATACATGTAGAATTTTAATATATATGCATTTATAGGTATTTAAATTCTACGTGTATACTAATGTAATCTTTTATGTAATTATATGTATTTATCTATATATATATATATATATATATATATATATATATATATATATATATATATATATATATATATATATATATATATATTTATATTTGCGGTTATTTGTATTTTATATATAGATAGATATATATAGAATGTCATTCTAAGTGTATTTTGTTACATATACATATACATATATATATATATATATATATAAACAACAAAATACAGTTAGAATGAAATTGCATATGAATATATAATTTATATTAAATTTTGTTTCAATATTTTATTTAATTATTTTATTTATTATTGTAATTATACATATATATATATATATATAATATATGTGTATATATCTATTATATATATATATAATATATATACATATAATATATATGTAACGTCATTCTAAGTGTATTTTAATATTAATATATATACTAATATTAGTATTAAAATACACTATGTATGACGTTATATATATAATATGTATATATATTATATAATAAGCAAAAAGGAAAGAGATGCACTCTCAGGTCTTTGTAAAAAAACTCGATATTATTTAATAACAGGTAACATACATCTGATCGACGTTTCGACCTCTTCAGGTCTTCCTCAAGATCAGGAGGAAGATCTTGAGGAAGACCTGAAGAGGTCGAAACGTCGATCAGATGTATGTTACCTGTTATTAAATAATATCGAGTTTTTTTACAAAGACCTGAGAGTGCATCTCTTTCCTTTTTGCTTTACATATCCAGCGTGGGATTGCACCAAGGCAGTCTTTTACTGATTCATTGAAAGGGTGAGTGCCACTATACTTGTATATATATTATATAATATATATATATATATATACATTTAATTAATTTTACACATGTTTATTTTATTTTTTTATATTTCCCACCAGCAGGGGGACTGTCTGATATTTCAGACAGCCCCCCTGCTGGCAGATCCATAGCCAGCTATAGGGGTCCTCATTCGCCGGGGGAGGGCTGCTTGGGCTGTGAGGCAGCCCTCCAGAAGAGGATCGCGGCGGAGGTAAGTTACAGGGTCACATATAGAACATTCCATTTTCAAATTGAAATTTGCCTGATTAGTAATGTTACCTTTGAGATTGTGTGGTAGCCCAGGAATGAGAATTACCCCCATAATGGCATACCATTCGAAAAAGTAGACAACCCAAGGTATTGAAAGTGGGGTATGTTTAGTCTTTTTTTAGTAGCCACTTAGGCACAAACACTGGCCAAAGTTAGCGTTTGGGCTTAAGCCGTTATGGCGTTCTATGCCGCCGCAACGGCTTTAAAGCCCTTTAAAGCCGCGATGGCATAGAACGCCGTAACGGCGTTAAGGGGTTAAAACTTTTCAATGCAGCTCAAGTAGAGGAACAGAGAGAGTCATACTTTGGAAAGTATGTTGAATGGCTGGGGCTGATGGGTTTTGAAAGTTCACTAGGATTAATGAGTGTGCATGGATTGCTGGGTCCAATTGGTATTGGATGTTGTCTGGGATAAATAGGTGTGCATGGATGGCTAGGTTTAATGGATGTATACAGACGGCTGGGGATTATGAGTGTGCATGTATGGGATCATGAGTGTGAATGAACAGCCAGGGGTAATGGGATTGAATGAACGGCTTGGGGTAGCACGAGCGAATGAGCGGCTAGGGGTAATTGGTGTTTAGTATTCTTGTTTGCTATATCCGCTTTCTCCTTTGCTTAAAGATTTTCACAGTGAGAAGACGCCAGCGTCCATAGGAAATTGAGAATGCTTTCCTATGGACTGGCTGAATGTGCGCGCGGCTCCTGCCGCGCATGCGCATTCAGCCGAAGAGCTCCCAGCCCAGCGCTGGAGAAAGAGGTGAGTTTAACCCCTTCCTCCCTCTAGAGCCCGGTGGGAGGGGGACCCTGAGGGCACTATAGTGCCAGGAAAACGAGTATGTTTTCCTGGCACTATAGTGGTCCTTTAAGAATTTGCTGGAGAAGGGCACCTGTGACTACATTAATGGCCAATATGTGCTGGCATTTTTCCCTTTTGAGGACTCTGCTCAGCTGTTTGTTCTCTCTCTTCACCTTCTATTATAGCTCTGAGCTCTAGGTGATTATGTACTCAACTTTTTCTCACATTGTTTAAATTAAAAAAGTCTAACCACGTATTTGATTTTTGGGAGCAGAACTTTTACTCATTACGTAGAAGATGCGAAAAACTAATTTTCATTTGATTGGCTATTATCATCAGTTCTGATGATCTCAAAAAGGGCAGATCATCAGAACTGATGGCGGACCCAGCAGCGCTGGAATAAAAGGTGAGTTTAACTCTTGGGGGGGGTACCCTATATAGTGTTTTTAACATTATAGGGCAAGGAATACACATTTTTATTCCTGACTCTATAGTGTTCCTTTAAGAATTACATTAGGGGCAACAAGATGAATAATATGTTTACTGCAGTGTTTTTGCAGTTACCTTCTTGTACTGGTGGATGGGGAGATTGTGCAGTAGACACTAGAGCTCCCGATGTCTGGTTCCCAGCTGTAGGGTGTTGAGCGAGGGATGTAACTGAAGGTAATCCAAAAGACTGTTGCATGCTATCTGCATTCTGCCTGGACACAGGGAATGACGAAGACACTAAAATAAAATATAATGAATACATTTAAAACAATGCAAATAAAAAGGACTTGAACTCATATTTCATTAATGTATTTATCCAAGTCAGGTTAGCAAAAAGGCTGAGAACAGAAGGTGGAATATTTTATTTTATGTAAAAACTCTCTGTGAACCAGTTTTATCTAGCATTAGTAGTAGTGATACTTACCACTCACAAGTGGATCTGATATCTTGCTGTAACCAGACCGTGTGTCTTCTATGTTCAAAAGCAGGCTACAACCCACTTCATGGTACATTCATTTTGCTGCACATAGCTCCTGTATAGATTTCTACAACCTGGTTGCTATTATTATTATTAGTAAAGAGCAGCTGGTAACCAATAAGGTAAATCAGCCGAATGTGTGTCCGGGGCAACCTAAATTAGGGGGCAACCCTTACATATGTATTAATAAAGATGAAAGAAAAAAATGGAGAAGACCAAGGGAGAAAAGGGGAAAAAGGAGGGAGAAGAAAAAACACCCTCCTTACCTTGACCCACAAGGTCAACCCAATAGAAAACCCCTACCTAGATTGAATGCTTAAAACTTAACCTTTAATAGAGAAAAAATAATAAAGTCATACATACAAAATATATACAAAAAAAATAAATAAAATTAAATGGAAAGAGAGGGAACAGATAGAAAAATAGGATGTATAGAATCCACTAGAATCACCTAGTGGTAATAATCAGTATGCTGGAACAGCAATATAACGTACCCTAACCTAAACTAATAAGTGAGAGGGCTGGCGTAAGAAGTGCAGTAAAGATAGGGAAAATGATATAATGGAATAAACCACCTAGAAAAACCCTCCAATGCAAACATAAGTTAGACTATAAATCTCTGCCACAAAAAAAGGTAGAGAACCTGATCTGAAGTGACACAAAGTGTAACTAATAGAAAGCACTAAAGATTGCTACAAATAGTTACAAATGAATACACATAAACAACTAATATCCACTGGCAGAAAGGGACAGAGGTGAATGTGTCCCTTTCTAAAGAGTAAAGAGACATAATACAATGTCCCAAAATAAACCGACCTGGCTAATGAACTCTAGAGCTCCTAATAAATAAATAAAGTGTCATGGACTGGTTCAAACTGCATACATAATAAAGGAAGTATATACAGTATATGCACAAAGCAGCCACCACCCACCAGTTCACAAACAACCCTCGAAAAAGAAGTTCCTAGCTGGATAACTAAATAGCTGCTAGAAAGCAGAATGACTAAGTGTTCCCTCTCTCTGACTGCCTAACACGCGTTTCGGCGCTGATCAGAGGCATCAAACATTGTCCAACACCGGCCGGTGTATTTATATATAACACAGACCAATGAAATAGGGGGGCGTGTAAATACCCGTTGGCACAAAAAAAATCGGCGTTCAAACAGGTCCCGCCAACCCATGTCCGTATCACTGGAAGATGGATAAATCATATAGTGGGAATTAACCCTTTGTATGATGATCTGAATTTCCAATACACATAAATCCAAGTATTTCATTGCTTTCCTAATATAATACAATATAATACAATCTAGCAAATGGACTAATTATGCAATGTCCAATGACAGAAGCCAAAATATAAATGAAAAACTAAAAAAGATAAATTTAAATAACGGATCGTATTGCACATATTAGTCTATTAGTGTCACACCAGTATGAAACAAGTTAAATTATTTGTAGTTACTAGGTCTATAAAGATTTAAAGATGTAAAATGATGGTGGACATGACTTGAGGTAAACTGACTATAGGGCATGAATGTCTTGCTGATATGTGGTAGTAATAAAAGGATGCCATGACTAATGTATTTATAGCAAAATACTGGAAATATCACAGTGATACTATCAAAAGGAAAGGTTGGACCAATAAAGTCCATAATTAAAATAGTACTAATTTGTAAGGACATTAGTTACAATAATATATACAGGTACAGAAATATTACATTAGCTAAGATGTTAATAGACTAAATAAATATCACTCCTAATAACTCATTTATCAATGAAAGGAGTAAATGTAAATCCCTCATTGAGTCCATTAGGGGCCAGAGTGTTGAATCTATAGATCCAAAAGCATTCTCTTTTGAGGAGGGTACGATCTAGATCACCCCCTCTATTACCCAGATGCACCTTTTCAATCCCTGCAAATTTCATCCCTTCTGTATTGCCATGATGATCGCTTTTAATGTGTCTTGACACTGGGGTATCTCTGAAATTTTTGACTGAATGTATGGGCTCCATTACCCTCCTCTTAAAGGGGCGAATGGTTTTCCCCACATATCTAAGACCACATACACACGACAAGAGATAGATCAGCCCTTTGTTATTACAATTAAAGAATTGTGTAACTTGGCACACTTGATTTTGTGCAAGGCATGGAATTTTATAGTAAACTAAACACCCTATCTATGGTCTTAAAGGAACACTCCTCATAGAGATTCATTGCTTCAATTCATCTATATGAGGAGATGCTGATTGGCCAGGGCTGTGTTTGAATCATGCTGGCTCTGCCCCTGATCTTCCTCTTTGTCAGTCTCAGCCAATCCTATGGGGAAGCACTGTGACTGCTTGTTTTTTTTTTGGGGCAAACAGCATGCAGAGTTACAGCTTCTGGCTTGAATACAGTAAGATGTTGCTATATTTATGGAGGCATGAGGGGCTAGATGGTGGTTTTAACACTATAGGGTCAGGAATACATGTTTGTGTTCCTGACCCTATAGTGATCCTTTAACGGTTTTGAAAAACGTATTTATTAGAAAATATTACTCTTTATGTGGCAGATTGGCCATTTGGGCCCTGCTCAACCCAACTTACCTACTGCTACAGTTTTAAGTACGGTAATCTCAACAGCGGGCAAAGTAGTTTGAGCAGCAGGTGGCCAGGTAACAGTAGAGAACAATAATTTTCAACTTTGAAAGGAACTGTTGGTGGTAGATGCACAACATGCCTGGGGGGGGAGGGGGGGCATCATTTTCTATGTTTTAAGGGTTCCTTTAGTTATATTTTTTCTTCACTGTTGTACACTCAAGTTGTGATTGTCACATTTTGTTTTAAATCATTTTTATTTTAAGCATAAAACAAGTCAGGCACAGTTCGACAATGATGAGAAGCTTACAGTTGCCTACGCAGAGGCTTATTATTTTCATCAGAATTATTATCAGCAGGCATTAACCTTCTGTAATTACATTTATGACTGTACCAGGCTAAGTCTTATAACTCTATAGGTTCACCATCATCATATGAAGCCTATATGTAATCTGGTGTCTACATGTGTCAGCAAGTAACTTGGCTATACGCGGGCCTTGCGCCTCGTAGCTGTTGGTGTTAGCGGGGCTTAATGATCCTGTGATTCTATTTGCCAGTATATGCGACCCTGTGAACGTGTTACAGGCATTGAATTTAATGCAGCATATGATATGTTATAGTTTGTGTGGCGAAACCAACCTCGCCACTGTGCACTGGAGAAGCCTGGTTGCCAGCCTCCTGCCATCTGACTATGGCCCCCTTTTAAAAGACTTTATTTTTGCCTGCAGAAAAGCTGTATTCGTGCTTTTCTGCCTGGGGTTCGGTAGATGTGTTTGAATGTGTTATACCCCAGATAGGAATCCCATGGAGCCCATTTGTATGAAACTGACTGTAAAGACTTTGGCTCCATGGCGATTAAACTGTATTCGTGTGGTCTGAGCGCCATTCACTTAATAATGTGCGCTCAGACCTGAGCTATCTGGGGATATGTGAAATGTCTGTGTGTTATGTGTAAAGGTGACTTTATGTATTTTAAAGTGTTTTGTGTCTTTTTGCAACCATGTGCTTAATGGAGTCTGTGTCTATCCTGGGAGATAATTGAATTACTTATCTCCAGGATAGAAGACTCTGAAACTGGTTTGGGCCAGAAAGCCATGCTTCATTTAGTCACAAAGGACTTTTTACTAACTTTTGAACCCCTTGTCTGATTTGTGCCATTTTTGAATATGTTGTTCCCCTGAATGGATTGATTGTGAATATGTAATTTTATGTGAATGTGATGTATGGTTTTGGAGTTATGAAAGTTGGGTAGAAAGTATGTTTTAACTGTATGTATAATTTAGTTTCCTCTCAGGATAAGGGGAGGGAATATGTGGGATGTAACTGTGATGTGATTGGTTGTTTTGTAACGCCCTGTGGGTTGTACTATGTTTTGTGGATTGTAATAAAAACCAGGCTGGGTGTGCCAGCACTGGAGATTCTGCTTAACCCTCAAAACGAAGTGTCGTCTTGTTATTGGGGTAATTGGATTGTGTGCTGACTGCCAGGAGTGTAAGCTGTTCGTATTGCTTTTCCTGTTCGGCTGCTTCCAGAGTTCGTGTATTTCTTGTTCGTGAGTTGGGGATTCGTACAGCTTGGAGTTCGGGAGGTTGGTGATTGCAATAGCTGCTGGTCTATGGGAAAGGGGATTATCGCCTAAACGGATTTATCCCCTTTGTGAGAGAAACGGTCCGTTACAGTTTGGTTCTAACAGATATCAGGGATGTGCTGTAGGTAATGGGTATTAAGGCGCGATGTTTTGAGGGTAATGTGCGTGAAGGGTTAGCATTCAAGTAAGCCTGCTGCCGTCACAATGTATAGATAAGCCTTGTTATTACAACTTTCTTAGACTCTTAGAGCGTTGCACCATCAGGGAACCTAGCGCATTATGTCGCAGTATCTCAGTAGTGCAGTAATTTTAAGTTAATCTGCGGCCAGTGCACTGGATACTAATATGTGTAGTAAGATATAGTCTAAGTATGTAGGTGTACGATTTGCGCTGGGGCATTGATGTGCGGTACGTTATGGTTCCAGTCTGCATAGGGCTAATGAGTGCGTCATACTTGAACCGGCGTATACTAAAAAAAAAATTAATTAAAATGGGCCCTAATAATTATCGGAGCATCTGAAGCAGTAGCTCTGTATAGGAGAAACCAAATGGATTTAGTAACCTCCTATAATGCGTCAATCTAATATAAACTGTAGCTGGTCATGCATTATATGTAATAAAGTATATAGGCAAACAACATCAGTAATAAGGACCGTAACAATATAGAGGCAAGGTTGGCTGGAACTTGAGAGGAGGCTGTGTGGCAGTCCGAGGGAGGCTCAACATGTCTCAGCTACGGTGCAGTCCTCAGGTTCCCGAGCCGCCGTCCGTTCACCCCACCTCGCCCCCCGCCCAGGTCCTCCTCGGCGCCGTGGGCACTCAGGAGCAGAGATTATCCACTGGACCCCACCACCAAAGTCCGTGACTCTCCCGCCCCCTGCACCTCCCCAGCACCTCGTTGTTTCCTATGGAGCAAGCACTCCCGTGTCCCTCCCAGTGCCGGCCTCACTCTTAAGGCTGGTACCCAGCCCCCCCGGCCACCGGTCCGCCGGCAGGGCAGCGCACTCCCTCCCCACAGGGCTTATGGCATCTGGGACATGGTTCTCCGGGGACCCCCATACCCAGAGACTGGGGTACTCACTGCTCCGGTCGGCGTGTGGGCGGTGTGTAGGCCCCGCCTAGCGCTCAGTATCGCCTGGGCCTGCATGAGCCGTCCTTGCCGGTCCCCTTTATTAAATTTTACCGTGGTCCTCTGGGTGTGTGGAGCTGTGTTGGAGCAGTTCCTTATGAATGCAGGTGGTCTTTCTCCTACCAGATTAACGGCAGTAGTATTTTTTAGTAGGATCCTCCTCGGCAGCTTTCCAAAATTGGGGCTTTGTGTGGGCTGTAGTGCCCCATTAAATGGTTGCATGCGTTCCTTCCTTCTTTATTTGGGTGCGTTCCTGGCAGTGTCCATATCTGCTAGCTGGCTGTTTTTTCTTGCAGCCATTGCTAGTGTAGGCGGGCGGCATAGGCCGAGCGCGGGAGCACCCGCCGCCATGATGCCGGGATAACCCCCACCGGCCCGGGGGGGAGCGGGGCCGTGCCCCGAGCTGGGGTATCACCTCATGACCAGAGGTTTAGTTTATGCGGCTTCTCCTGTCCCCGTAGAGTGCCTCTCCGCGGTGTCTGGCTGCACATCGCGGGTGCACGAGGTCCGGCTTGTGGGCCGAGGGTGGACGTTTTTGCTCACCCGGTGCGTGTTGTGCTTCCTGCGTGGTATCGGGCTGAAGCTGGTAACCCTCTCCATGCAGCGGTAGCGATGGCTCCAGCATTGCAGCGGTCAAAGTCGGCTTTTTGAGCCCTTCTCACGAGCCTAGAGCTGGAGCCCATGCATATGGCGTCCAGTCGGCTCGGCGGCCCGGCCCCGCCCCCCCCCCCACATTTTGTATATATCATGAAACAATATTTACCAGCACAATAAGGCAATGTTAAGTCTGCAATTCTTACCTGTACTCGATGGATGGTGTTTCTCAAGTGAAGAGACACCATGGTTTTGCAGTTGACCATCAAGGAACCTTTGCTGTTCTGCGCGTGGCACTGCTGGTGCACTATGTTGATGCAAATTATGATGAAGAACTGAAGGGCCACCCCCAACCAAGAACTTATTTGCATTATTATTGACCTGAGGGATGGCTTGAATGCTTTGGGAGGCCATCATTTGTCCATACTCACACGGGACTGACGGTCGAAGTGATCCTGCATATTGTGTACTACCAGCTGTGGAGGATGCATATTCGCCAGAATAAGTGGGCATTCCCTGAGGTGGACATGATGAAGTGACAGGATATGATGCATAACCATATTCACCAGCAAATGCAGGGTGTGGCTGCTGGAAACCAGGATTTGCATTAACTGCTGAAGGCCCTACTCCTTGTGATACTGGAATATGGTAACCTTGAGGTGACATGTGAAACAACTGGTGTGATTGTTGACTTGTGCTCACAAGATTAGGATGGATAGGATGTGGTGGAGGGTTTTGGGGCAAAGCTGCATAGCTGCTGGAGTAATAATTAGCTCCATGTTGGCCATCCATGTACGAAGGAGCAACTTTACTCGGCACTTGGGAGTAGAATGCAGGGGCTGCACTTTGAGCTGATGGATATTGTCTGTATCCAGATGATGGCTGACCTTGGGCTATTCCTGAAAAGAAAAGAAAAAAAAAATGAAAAAAAGTTAAGTGCTTACACGAAGATTGAATAGGATAAATACATGTGTACGAGAAGAGAGAGGAAGCACTCACTTTACCAAATATGTATATATAAATAGTATTCTGTCCAAAAGACAGGGAAGTCGCAGATTCCTTAAGATACAAACTTGAAGTCAAGGGTGTCCCAACTTTGGCCATTGAGCTTTTGGTTGACTATATTAATTTTCTAACCAGAATACAGTAACAAATAGCCCTACGTATTTTATAAAGGTAGACTACAATTACCATGCCACTGCGTCAATCAGATATATCTGCTACAACTGCAATTTTAGTGAATAAGAAAATTGCTTATTTTAGACCAACAGTTTAGTATACATTCTTCTGTTATTTTCCCAGCACAAATATTTTGACATGAAATTGGCAATCCAAGTCATTTCCTGAAAATTTCAGTTTAGGGAATAACCCTGAAAGAACCAAAATACTGACAGGCTCTTATTTGGATTGCTTATTGAATATATGGTGTATAACGGTGCTTGACAAATCACATGCTACAGATTGCCATTGCAACCGAGAAATGTCAACGGGTGCAACATTTTAACACAAACAAATACAGGAGTAGTTGCTACAACATCTTACCTCTTTTCACTTAAATGACCCATTTCTCAATCTGCTCGTTGCTGATAATATCCTACCACCTTTTAATAATGAATGATACAAGACTATAATATGCAGTTATTAGAATGCTGGATTGCAGCATACATTCACCATATGTAACACCAGTGTTAGATGTATAAATGTTATACAGGTTTACCTAGCTATCTTCGACAACATAATTTCCAAATAACATCACCAGCTGATCTCATTTGCTCTCTGGGGACTTCATGCAATGAGAGGCAAAAGAGAAAAGCCTATATATAGCCATAAAGGCCAACATTAAAGGGCCACTTTAAAAACCGTAAAACCATGCTCTCTGCATAGATTATGTGCAAGGAGACCCTTAGTCAGTGTCCCTGCACAGAGTTGCTTATAACTGGAGTAACTTGCAAAAACTGGTACAAATATAATGTGCTACAGCAACTGATTATAAAGTTGCCTGTGCGTACCCGTGCATCGGTTAGGGACTCGGGCTGCTACTTGGCCTCCTCCGGTTGCGCTCACAGAATGTGTGCTGGAGAATGTGGTCTACAGCCCAATGACAGAAATACATACATATTGCCAAGGTATGGCTGTCAGCTTAGTCAACAGCTACATTCACCAGTTCAGATGAGTGGAACTGTGGCTGGGTATGAACTACCAATAACATAAGACCATGCTATGCTGGACTGTGGTTTATTGTTTAATATCAGATCCCAAAGAGTAGAATGAGATACTCTACACCAGTGATTCCCAAACCAACATCAACAATCCAAGATTCATATATTTCCCATTTAAATTCCAATGGAGATATTGACAAAACCTGGACTGCTGCTGGGTCATGAGCACTGATTTGGGAACCACTGGCCTAGACTGATAAAGTCTCTACCTCAGGGCTCGATAAATACCATGGCGACTACACATTTCACTCTGGCACCTGGGATTTGTCAGCCCTTTACCTAAAGCGTCCGGCTGGGCAAACAATGGAGCCATCTGCCCTGGGGAGCTCAGGGAGTATTGTAGCAAACTGGCTGCTCTAGGGAGCATGTAGATGGCCGGCACAGGGAGCATTGGAGCTAGCCGGCCGGCCACCCTGGAGAGCATCGAGGTGGTCGGCAGAGGCGGCGCATGAGGGAGCAGTGATCTTCTCCTGCAGCTCCTTTATGCTCCCTCGTGCTGTATAGTGATGTCGAGGGCTGGAACATGATGTCATTCCGGCCTTGGCATCACTAAAGGGGAGCAGAGAGGAGCTGCACGTAGATTACTTCCCCCTCGCACGCAGGAAGAGAGAGAAGCCCCACTGGACCCCAGGCAAAGCTCCTAACTTTTTTAGCTAGCTCCTAGAGTCTAAACAAATTTGTCAAGTCCTGCTCTACCTTATCTGAAAATTGCTCACTTGTGTATTAGCTAGAAAAACAAAAACTTTAATAAGGTTAACAGTGATAACAGAAATGATGAATGAGTAAACAAGTTAATCTGAATTACACATCACTGATTGTAACATCACTAACAGTAACTTGCCCTAACCTAGGTAATTTAATACATTACCAACTACACAGATTTACAAGTTATGTAAATTTAAAACAATCTCATTCTCATATATTTAAACTAGATACATGGTTCAAATGTTTTGTGCCTGTCATCTAAACAAATACCCCTTTATTACCCACCACCACTGGGTTTGCTACTGAATAGACAAAGAAACTGCCAAGAAGCATGCGATATATAACTTAGCCCACATACAACCAATTTCCTTTGAAAAAGAACCATCTGACTTAAAATAGTTAGCCTACGAATAAATCAATAATAGACCAAAATACATTAGAATTTAGAACATTAACACCAGTAATGAAATCTCAACAGACAAAACATAAATACCTTAATAATACATATTATCACTATTAGACAATAAGAAAAATACATTCTTGATTCCATTTTGGAAATATTTATAACAATCCAGAATCACTAACCACTCCTTCACATTCTAAAGCTCCAGCAAGGTAGTAAACAAATCCACTATATGCAGGTGTACAATTACATAACACACCTTTTAATACCATACGCAATTGTTTTTAATGTACACTTAATCCAAAGGAAATCATTTGAGAAAACCTGAAGCACTGCAGCTGTATAGATAAGGGTTACTTACAATTGGTAAACATTACACTTATTTTCTGAAACATACTACAATTGGTTATTTGCACATATATAAAGGACTATGGAAAGAAAAATACATACACAGATATTAGAACTTAAAATCCCTCTAGCCCTGAAGGAATTGTATTCAGTGTTCTATTTCACGCAGTAAACTTGGAAAAAACAACATACATTAGAAAGTTAATAAAATCTTTCCAAGTTGGCAGCAGTGTGAAACCCCCCCCCCCCCTACATAATTTGTAATTTTTCTTATAGGCTTAACTGACCAAATGCAGTACATGGTGTAAAAGCACAAAAAAACACTTGCAGGGTTATTTACTGAAGTGAGAATACAAAGTGAATTTAAATGTAAAAGGCAAAAGTAGCTTAACTGAAAGCATAGGTGACTTAAATAATGTTTCCATTTCGGCTACCTTAATCTTAAAGGAAAACTATATTGTAAGGAATTGGGGGGTGAGGGGAGGGGGAGAGAAAAATGCAGCACTGGCAAATTAGTATTCCTGACCCCATAGTGTTAAAAACACTATAAGCTCCCCAGATAAACAAGGTCATCCACAAAATACAAGACACTCATGTCATGGACCATCTCACAGCAAAAAACATACGAAAAGGTCTGGAGTTGTGGAAGGCCGGAGAATGGGGGGCTGAGCCCCACCTAAGACCGACCAGCCCTAGACATACAATACTACGACCACCGCGACACCCCAGTCGGGCCGGCCGACCTAAAGGGAGATCAGAACCTGCATATAAAAAGCCGACCGAGTCAAACTGAAACATCGACGCTGCTCAGAATCCCTCCCATGAGGGGGAAAACACCCCCCCCCCCATCTTTGCCCTCTCCTACACTTTCTACTCTAATTTATCTTCTCCCTTCCTACCATTGTTGAAGCGAGTGTCTTCAGCTCACAAACAAAACTGTACATGCAACTCTAAAGCGAGATAACGAGGACTACAAAGAAAGACACACTCTACGGTGGTTTTAGTTTAAATCAATGTGTTTTAATGTTTTGGTTTAAAAAAAAAAAAAAAAAGGGGTATTGTCAATACGCAAATGAACCCATACGAGAGACAAGGAGTTACACAATAGGGGCAATACAATGTCTACAGTACCTGTACCCATGTCAGAAAGTATGTAATGTGAAATGTTCATTTTGTGACTGACGTATTGCAACGACACACCAAAAATAAAGAATTGAAAAACAAACAAACAAAAATAAAACACTATAAGCTGGCGTGCCCCCGCTTAAATAATGTAATAAACTTACCTTTATTCCAGCTCTGTGCAGGTATGCCATGTTGGCTCCGCCCCCAATCCGCTTCATGGGCTGAGATCATCAGAACTGCCAATCTCAGCCAATCCAATACTTTCCTATGGGGGAGCCAAATGCATTACTGGCCATTCAGCATCTCCTCAAGAAGAACATTAAAGGGACACTCCAGGCACCCAGACCACTTCTGCCCATTGGAGTGGTCTGGGTGCCAACTCACACTACCCTTAACCCTGCAAGTGTAATTATTGCAGTTTTCATAAACTGCACTATTTACCTTGCAGGGTTACGTCCTCCTCTAGTGGCCGTCTATCAGACAGCCACTAGAGGGACTTCCGTGTTCTTAGAACACAAAAAGTGTGTTATACGATGCTGGACATCCTTACGCTATGTAAGGACCTCCAGCGTTGCCAAAATCCCCATAAGAAAGCATTGACTAAAGCTTTCCTATGGGGAGTTCTAATGCGCGTGCGTGGCCATTGCCATGCATGCGCATTAGGTCTCCCCCGCCGAGAGTAGGCGGAGCTTGACCAGCGCCAAGGGACATCGGCGCTGGACTCCGGTAAGCCACTAAGGGGTTTTTAACCCCTTCAGCAACTTGGGATGGGGGTGGGAGGGAGAGGGGCACTACAGGGTCCTGCAGTGCCAGGAAAATTAATATGTTTTCCTGGCACTGGAGAATCCCTTTATATCAATGCACCTCTACGAGGAATGTTCAGCATCTCCATGCACAGTGCTGCACACCCAGGAAGCATCTCTAGTGGCCGTCTGAGTGACTGCCAATGGAGGTGTCCCTAGGCATTAATCTAAAAACTGCCTTTTTCTGAAAAGGTAGTGTTTACATAAAAATACCTGCAGAAATGGCCTATACACACCAGAACAATTACATTAAGCTTTAGATGTTCTGGTGACTATAGTTTCCTTTCAAATTTGAAATTCACTTTGAATTCTCACTTTAGTGAATAACTCCTGTAGGAAGCTAAAATTGAAGCATAGTTGACATTAAGTTAGATTAACAGATTTGCAGGAGCAACCAAAAGTTAAATTCTAAATACTCTGACAGAATCATGTGAGTCGCAGTTCCATAAAGTCAGTGCATGGAGTGTCTCCTTAATTAATGGGTGGCCATAATGGCCTTAGCTGTCGCATCATTTGGTAGTTGTACAAAAGCTGGGGATCTACCTTTGGACAGTCTGTCTATCGGTCCCCATGGCAGTCAGTCAGTCAGTCTGTCCCCATGGCAGGCAGTCAGTCAGTCCGTCCCCATGGCAGTCAGTCCGTCCCCATGGCAGGCAGTCAGTCAGTCAGTCCGTCCCCATGGCAGGCAGGCAGGCAGTCAGTCAGTCAGTCCGTCCGTCCCCATGGCAGGCAGGCAGTCAGTCAGTCAGTCGTCCCCAGGGCAGGCAGTCAGTCAGTCAGTCAGTCAGTCCCCATGGCAGGCAGGCAGTCAGTCAGTCCGTCCCCATGGCAGGCAGGCAGGCAGGCAGTCAGTCAGTCCGTCCCCATGGCAGGCAGGCAGTCAGTCAGTCCGTCCCCATGGCAGGCAGGCAGTCCGTCCGTCCGTCCCCTCTGTCAGTCAGTCAGTCCGGCCCCCAGTCAAGTCAGTGAGTCCGCCCGTCCTGTCAGTCAGTCAGTCCGTCTCCCCAGTCAGTCAGTGAGTCCGCCCCAGTCAGTCAGTGAGTCCGCCCCTAGTGCCGCAGGTCAGGTGAGTCCGCCCCCAGTCAGTCAGTGAGTCCGCCCCCAGTCAAGGTCATCAGTGAGTCCGCCCCCAGTCAGTCAGTGAAACGGCCCCTCATAGTCAGTGAGTCCGCCCCCAGTCAGTCAGTGAGTCCGCCCCCAGTCAGTCAGTCAGTCCCCCAGTCAGCTGCCAGTCCCCCAGCTTGTCCTCAGTCGGGGTCATGTCTGTCCCCACATGTCTGTCAGTCAGTCTGCTGTCCCCTGGGCGTCTGTCAGTCGTCTGTCCCCATGTCTGTCAGTCAAATTGTCCCCTGCGTCAGTCAGTCAGTCTGTCCCCCATGTCAGTCAGTCAGTCTGTCCCCCATGTCAGTCAGTCTGTCCCCCATGTCAGTCAGTCAGTCAGTCTGTCCCCCATGTCAGTCAGTCAGTCAGTCTGTCCCCCATGTCAGTCAGTCAGTCAGTCTGTCCCCCATGTCAGTCAGTCAGTCAGTCTGTCCCCCATGTCAGTCAGTCAGTCAGTCTGTCCCCCATGTCAGTCAGTCAGTCCCCCTGTCTGTCAGTCAGTCCCCCTGTCTGTCAGTCAGTCCCCCTGTCTGTCAGTCAGTCCCCCTGTCTGTCAGTCAGTCCCCCTGTCAGTCAGTCCCCCTGTCAGTCAGTCCCCCTGTCAGTCAGTCCCCCTGTCAGTCAGTCCCCCTGTCAGTCCCCCTGTCTGTCAGTCAGTCAGTCAGTCCCCCTGTCTGTCAGTCAGTCAGTCTGTCCCCCCTGTCAGTCAGTCAGTCCCCCTGTCAGTCAGTCAGTCCCCCTGTCAGTCAGTCAGTCAGTCCCCCTGTCAGTCAGTCCCCCTGTCAGTCAGTCCCCCTGTCAGTCAGTCCCCCTGTCTGTCAGTCAGTCAGTCAGTCCCCCTGTCAGTCAGTCCCCCTGTCAGTCAGTCAGTCAGTCAGTCCCCCTGTCAGTCAGTCCCCCTGTCAGTCAGTCCCCCTGTCTGTCAGTCCCCCTGTCTGTCAGTCAGTCCCCCTGTCAGTCAGTCCCCCTGTCAGTCAGTCCCCCTGTCTGTCAGTCCGTCAGTCAGTCC